TACCAGGTCTCCATCCGTCTGCCAATCCGTAAGCGAGGTCTTTGCAGGTGCAGGTCCTTTGCCAAGGAGAGCATCGAAGGCCTCCTTTACCATGGGTTCCTTTTCATGGCAGTCTCGTAGGCGATCGAGGAGGTCCGCGTTGATGGCTCGCACGAAAAGCTGGGGGGCTAACATCACGATGTCGTCGTTGTCATCAGCCCCGGTATCATGGTCACTGCGTCGGGATAGAAGGTCGGCGATGGTCATTTGCGTTCCAGGGACGTGTGCCAGTTCATAGTCGAATTTGCTGAGGAACAGCGACCATCGTGCTTGTCGTCGATTGAGCTTCTGCGCGGTGCGCCAGTAGGTCAAGTTACGGTGGTCCGAGCGGATTTGGAGCTTGTGCGGGCTACCTAGGAAATAGTGTTTCCAGGTCTCCAGACCGCGTATGATGCTGAGGAGTTCACGGTCGTAGATCTTGTAGTTCCGTTTGGCGGGGTTCAAGGACTGGGAGATGAAGCCACAGGGGTGCAAGTCTCCGTTTGCATCACTCTGTAGCAGGACACCGCTGGTAGCAAACTTCGAGGCGTCGCATTCGAGAGCAAATGGCCTGGTTTCATCTGGCATGACCAAGGTGGGAGCACGCGTAAACTCGTGCTTCAGATCCTCAAAGGCGAGTTGTTGCTCCTCGTCCCAATGCCATCGTACGTCCTTCTTTGTGAGGTCCACTAGGGGTCGTGCACGCTCAGAAAAGTGGAGGATGAACCGTCGGTAGAAATTCGCAAATCCGACAAAGGAGCGGACTTGCTTGACTGATTCGGGTACGGGCCAGTCAGCGATTCCGCTCACTTTCACGGGGTCCATGGCAATGGTGTCCGGTCGGATTATTATTCCCAGGAATTCCACTTCAGTGACGTCGAAGTGGCATTTCTCGGGTTTGAGATAGAGGTCGTGGTCCTTGAGGTGCTGGAGGACTTGTCGAGTCCGTTCGTGGTGTGTCGTAGTGTCCGCAGAGTAGATCAGGATGTCATCCATGTAGATGACTAGCCAGCCTTCGGCTAGCATGTCTTCGAAGATGGAGTTCATCATCCGTTGGAATGTCGAGGGCGAGTTGCATAGACCGAAAAACATGACCGTGGGTTCGTATAGTCGTGGCGGACCCTGGTTGGATCCGGGAACCGCGAAAGCTGCCTTCCACTCATCGCCCTCCTTGATTTGGACATTGTTATAGCCGGCACGTAGATCCATCTTGGTGAAGATCTTTGCGCCTTTAAACTTGTCCATGAGGTCCGAGATCAGAGGGAGGGGGTAGCGGTCTTTGACCGTATTCTCGTTGAGCTTTCGGTAGTCCTGACAGGGTCTCCACGTTCCATCTTTCTTTCCAACGAAGAAGAAAGGGCTGGCGATCGGAGAGTTTGAGGGTCGTATGTAACCTTTCGACTCGTTCTCTTTCAAGAACTTGTCAAGTTCCTCGTGTTGAGCATGACTGAGAGGGTAAACCTGGGTCTTCATCTCCGAAAACCCCGGTTTCAGGTTGATCTCGTGGTCGTACTCGGTGTGCTCTGGGAGTCGAGATGCCGTTACTTTGTCGAATACCAGGAGGAAGTCATGCAGATAGGGAGGAACGATTTCCTCAACCGTCTTCTGCTTCTTTCCAACCCACTCAGAGAGCGCTAGCTCAGTGGCCGTGGTGGTTCGTCCGATCGAAAATGCCGTGGGGATTAGTGCGCCGCTGCCGGTTCGTATCATCCGATTGATAGCATGCCTGGACGGCAGGGGTTCTGGGGTGTCTTCGTGTTCCTGCGTCAATGGTGTTTCAACGAAAGCGAGTGTTGCCAAGTAGTTTGCACCAGGGGCATACGATGCCAGGAATTCGTCAGGGTCCAGATCTTCGGTCATGGACCGGAGTTGTGCTTCATAATCTTCCTCGCTCTCGAGCGGTTCAGGGTGTGGGTTCATAGGGGGGAAGTTGGGGAGTTCCTCAATTGGCTTGTCCAAGAGAGAAGTCTCCGCTACAACTTCCTTCTGAGGAGCATCAACAGCTCGCTCGTGTTCTTCTTCGGGAACATCCTCGATGGTCACTCGTCGAGGTGGGGTTGGTTCGCGGGGTTCTTCGGGGCTGCAGGCCCGATCGGGTGGTTCCTCAACTTGTCGGCGGATACGATAGATGGGAGCGGGAGGTAGCTCCACTTTGACAGTTCGTAGGATTTCCGCCTTGCTAAGCTGTTCGTTCTGCTCGCATTTGGCCCAGTATGTCTGGTCTTCAAACTCGAGCTCGCCTGTCTTCCAGTCGATGATGGGGTTCTCCTTCTGGAGCCATTCATGGCCTAGAATGAGATCCTGTCTTCTGATCTCGGCAACGTACGCCTTAACAAGCTTGGTGGTTCCCTTCCATCGGTAGCGAAGGGCAACGGCGTGCGATATAGTTCCCTTCTTGTTGGGAGTATCGTCTACGTTGAAGACCGGGATGGGTCTGACAAGGGGTACTGAGGGTAGGCGTAGTTTGATGACAAGGCGAGGGTGGATGTACGTGGCCATTGCGCCGCTGTCGATGAGAGCTTCCGTTTCGATGTCTTGATGCACTCCAATCACCATGAGAGGAAAGTAAAGGGCTTTGAATTGTGTGATTCCTGTTACTACATGGGATATGTGGAGTGCATAGGTGGGGTCTGGGCGCATCGATGACTCAGACCCACTCAAAAATCCTTTGACATTTGCTCAAAGAGCGGGGCGCGTTCTTCGAGCGGGAGTTCCTGGAAGACTTCTCGTACATAGGCGGGAGTAACTTCTCGCACGTGGGTAGAGGAGGCGGGCACACGGTGTGGGGTAGTTCGGTTGCGCTGGGTGAACTTCGGGTTCTGTCTCTTCTCGGGATAGTTCCTGAGGAGATGTCCGGGTTTGTGGCATCCGAAGCAAAGGCCCAGTTCCTGGTGACGTTGCCGTTCCCTCTGATCCATAGCGTCGATCTCCATGGGCTCGTCCAATTGTCCGCTGCCTCGTCCAGAGGGGTAGGAGGAGCGGTGGTTGTTACCTCCGCTGTTCCCTCCCTCGTAGTAATTGGTATTGTAGATCTGGCGGGAGTCAAGTCGGAGGACAAGGTCAAACCACCCTTGCAGGGTCGTGGGTGGTTCCATATTCATTGCCTTGTCAACATCAGGAAAACCCTGATTTACTGAAACAGTCTTCAGCTAACATATTTGCACACCAGCCAGCATTTGTGACCATCAGTGATCTTCTCACTACACCAGTGACTGGCTCTGACTATCAATGGCCAACTGAAGTAACGCAAAGTGCCAGTTGCATATGTTACGGAACAGTTAGTCCTTTCACATCTCATCAGTACAATCAGCATCATTCGTATCATCCTCATCACCCCGGACGGTGATTATCTATCTCGGGCAGCCATCTGTAGCCGTGGCCCGCCATCTGTACCATACGCTACCGGACACTGCCCCAGTGATCTGCTTACGTATCTCTCCGCGCTGATCGCACTATCTCTTGTATTTAAACTCGTTGTACAGTAGCGGTCGAACTTCACGTTCGACCTGGTTAACTCTTGAATCCTATCTCCTTCGCTTTCCCACTTCCCCTACGCCCTAGCGGCAGGTGACGACCAAGCTCGGATAGGCCCGACCAACCAGGAGCCTTTGAGGAAGCCAGCACGGCTAGTCCTCTCGAACGCCCCGACAGATCCAGACTCTAGACGAGAGTAAGCCCTTGTTAAAGGCAGCGTCTTCAGTAGAAGTTTGTTCTCGTATTGGCTATCGCCTTCATCATTGTCCCGCTCCTACCCGTCGCGTAACAGCATACACTAATGTAGACTCTATATCAACTCGGTCAAGTCATTCAACAGCAAGGCAAAGACTCCTGCGGCGTCCAAGACTGCAGCTGGATCATCGAAGGATGCAGCGAACGCAGAGAGTGGACCGTCACGTCCATCGCGATCGAAGTCCGGCGCGAAGAAGGCCCAGGAGAGTTCGGGGGAGCAAACTTCCAGCAGCGAGCGTGAGGTCGATGAACTCGGCAATGAGTGGTAAGTCAGTCAGTGTCCAGTGGTTTCTTTGTATCTCACTGCGAGAGGTACATCGCCAAGATGTCGTAGTTGTCCTGTCGCATCAAGGCCGTGAACATCATCAACTTTGTCTGTTTCGCGTGGCAGGAGCAGTAGAATCGGCCCATTTCCAAGGCGAGTGTTTCTATGCCCATACCACCTCTATCTACACTTACTCATACGACAATCCTGCAGCTACTATATCTATCATCCTCTGTACTACTACACATCAGACGTGCGTGCCTGCTACGTATCCCACTCCCCCTCTACTACTATTTGCCTGTCTCAGCCGTGGTCGTCATCCCGGCGCCGTCTGACCTCGAGTCTATGCCTATCTGTTGATCGTGCTATACCAGTAGTTATGTGTCTGTATATGTTGTACAACAACCCGCACTGCTAATATTTATGATGTGATTTGGTACATGTGCATAAGTGGACATCAGCAGACTTAATTCTGTACATAACTGTACTTCAGCACGCCCACTGAAGTACATATTGTAGGTGAAATAAGGGCAACTAAAGACCAAAATGACAACACAATTAAGACTGAATAAGACACAAGATGTCTTTATTGCGTACATTAGTGCTCTTATGCATAATATCAAAGACACAATAAGACGGGGACTTGTCTTAAGTGCCACGTTTTGGTCTTATGTAACATTTTATGTCTTTTGTGTCCTATACGTTCCTAAGATGTCTTGTAAATGACCTCTGATGAGACCTTATGTAGGCACGGTTTTTCCTGATGTAGTAATGCGACTGAATGCGGTAAGTGCTGCATTTGGCTGTGATCTGTAATGTATCGGAGACTCTAGCTGTGATATATCACGGCGTGCCCTATGAGGTGATCTGTAGCTCACAGTCATGCACGTATCACAGCCGTACTGTAACTACAAGTATTTATATATCAGTATGCCAGCTCCAGGTGATTACATTCATGAGCACATTGATGATTCTACTACGTCGTAAGTCACAACTGATCGTGCACGTCTGCCACCATTGCGTCCACCAGCCCTGAGGCCTGCTCCTCGCTGATGCTGAGACGATAGCGAAGTTCCTCCGGCCACAGCACTGCCGCAAACGTCACAGCCACGTCGTCCAGCACATAGTTAGAATACTTTGGGAGGCCAATGTTGGCGAGGTAGCGGGCCGAGCGGTAGCCAAAACCAATGATCACCGTCCCGGGGACAGACTCTGATGGTGACGACGGGGACAAGAACGGGGACACCGGAGAAAGCAGACGCGAGGATGATCCCACAGACGACTCCGAGTCAGAGATTGACACGGGCAAACTGGAAGGCAGCGAGCGTATGGAACGTGTCATCCTAGGTTTGGCACTAGGCGAGCCAAAAGGGCTCCCGAGCTGTGGCGCAATTGCCAACGTATTCGGGGGCGATGGCTCAGCAGGTAAGGGGCGCGTACCCCCCTGCATAGCCTTGACCTCAGTGGTTCTGGACGGAGCGTCCTTCTTCGGTGCCTTGTTGCTGTCGCTCATCAGGAAAAATGTTCCTTACTTCAGAGGTCTTAAATAAGAACCATACAATCTTAAGCGACCTCTGGTAACTTGTGCACCTTAAACGAGTGCAGTATGCACCCAAAGACCACTGAAGGGAAATGAAGTACCTTTGAGATTTGCGCCTTGTTTTCAAGACTCAAGCCATGCAGCTTCAGTGCTCTACATTAAGACCCCTGGAGTACGTGTAAGCTAGCTAATGACTACCAAAGTGTTTGATACGCGTAGTGAGAGGTCCAATTGTTCAATAAGAATTTTGAAGCACAATCCAGTACAGTAGGAGTCGTACATTCCTCTGGTAGATGCTCAGGAGAATCTCCCACATCAGAACTTCGGGGAAACCGCTGATGGCCACTGACGTCACTGAAGTAGCGATATCAGCGAATTTCAGCAATGTCAGTGCAGCTCAGCGGTGTTCAGCAGGGACAGATATTTTGTTCAAAATTCCAACTTATTTCCGTCAGTAGATGCAAAGCCTAAAGCGTCAGCAGGCATCAGGAACCGCCAGCGGCCGTCAGCAGAGATCTTCCAGCATCAGGAAAGGGGCGATTTTACTACTGGGTTGTGACGGTCGCTGATATGCTGACTGTGACGTCTGACTATGCTAACAAGTAAGTTTCATATGAAGTGTAATCTACATGTTCATTGTGACATAGAACGACTCGAACACAGCTCCCCTGCTCGCCTCCTTGCCATTTACCCACTCGCCACTCGAGCGCACCGCGCCAGACTCCTCTTGGCAGAGTGCGTCGACATTCACTGTGCCGTCCGTGCTCGTCTGTAGCGACTAACGTTAGAAGCAAGTATTTGATCCTTGACTTGAAGAAGTACACACCTTCTTGACCACATCAGCACAGCTGCGCTCAAACAAAAGCCCAGAATGACTCACAAACACCTTTGCCAAAGCTACGTGCCGACACGGAGAACGTTTTTGATGAAACTGGGCCTGGCAGCATGAGCAGCAAAGAAAGGGAGGGCCGCGCGCAACACAGAGCACGCTGCACCGCACACAGCAAAGGTGCGGCTGGCGGAGAGCGAGACATGGCAGAGGGTACGGATGGCGGACATAATCATCGTGGTCGTGATGGAGAGAGGAGAACATTTACTTACTTACCTGATAGACTACGTAGCGAGCAGGGCGTACCTTCGAGCAGTGAGCCTTCGTGCTCGCTTTTTCTTTCCTCGTCGCATCCTTCTCCTTTCCTTCTTTCCTTGCTCGTCTCATTGTACCTCCTCCGGCCCTCGTCCAACTCGTCCTCTTGCCTCTTCCTTTCCACTTTTCCGGCATCCCGGTCCATCGCGTTGCCCATTGCGGGGCTTGCACGCGCGTCGTCCGAATCTCGAGCTGCGTGGCCATGTTGCATGTCAACAGAGCTGCGGTGTGTCGAGGTGGAATCGCCAGGCTCGTGCAGAAGGCCGGTAGCAGTGTGAGAACGGGCCAGTGAGGTGCAGCGCAAACAGTTACTAAGTAACCAACAGCGATGAGGCTGCCAGCAAGCGGTCTGTGCGAAGTTTAGGGCAAGCGCTTGCGCCACTTTGCCCCGACTTTGCGCGCAGTACCACTCATGCTGGTCCATACTTGTAGCTCACCCATTCGACGCCCTCACGCTCTGGCTCCGATATTGTCGCGGAGCTAGGTCTGACGCGACTAGAAACAGAACTAAAACAGAAAACACTCGACCTCCAGGTGTTGGACCGAGGTCAACAACAGTCTAGACAGCGTAGGACGCAATGACTAGCAACTCCAAGTTAGTTACATTGCACTCTACTTAGTACAATGTGAAGTGCTTACCTAGCAACTCCAAGAGGACGAGCTGGAGTGCTAGGCAGCGTACAGGACCCTATATATACTGGCTAGGTTGAGGGCAGGTCTACCTACGCTGGATCCGAGAACTGAGGTCATGTGTACGTATGAGTCAGAACGAGTCAGAACGAGTCAGGTGGCTAGGCGCTGCCGCAGGGCACATGATAAATTACATAAGCAAGGCCACATGATGAACAAGTCACAAGACAAACCCTAGCACGTGATGTGTCACGTGGCTAGTCAGAAAGCCGTTCCAGGCGAAGTCTACCGTACAGCGTATTGTACAAGTCCATAGAAAATGAGCAAAAATAGGATAAAACAAAGTAAAAATATGGGGCCTCCGTGTCATACCATGACATTACCCCCCTCCTAAGACTCGTCGTCCCGACGAATCTATCCCAACACGTCGCCCCGTCTCCCATTCCAGGTCTGTGGGCACGACGTCCGTCATATTCTCCGGAGATCGCCACACGATTCCGTCGAAAAGAGCAGCGTTTATCTTGCGAGGTGCATTGGGGTGCTTCCGATGGAACTCCGCTACTTCCTTCTGGGCGTGTTCGAGATTCTTGGCGGGTTCCCAGCTGTTGTCTCCCGCACCGTAGCCCTTCCATTGGACTAGATACTGAAGCTGGCGTCTGAAGAACCGGGAATCCAAGATGGTCTCGACTTCGTACTCTTCCTCACCATCGATTACTACTGGTTCGGATGGTTGAGGAAGGAGTCCGTTGACGTCATTACCCTTGTAGGGAGATAGTCTATCCACGTGGAATACGGGATGCACCTTGAGCGCAGGCGGCAAGTTAAGCACGTAGTCGTCTTTCTCTCGGACTTCGGTTACTTCGTAAGGTCCGAGTTGTCGCGGCCCAAGCTTCTGACTTGCTTGGTGGATCTTGATGTTCTTAGCGGCTAACCAGACTTTGTCGCCAACCTTGAACACCGGGGCTTTGACTTTGCCCTGATCCGCCATCGCGACTTTGCTTAGACGAAGTGCTGCTTCCGCCTCCTTGCGTGCTTCTGCAAGAAGTGCCAATCTTTGGTCGAGTGCAGGAATACTTGTTTTCCTACCCACAGGGACAGTGAAGTCCGGCGTAAACCCATACATGGCTTCAAAGGGAGTCTTTCCCGTAGCCGATGCAACGCACGAGTTGATTACAAACTCGGCGGTTGGGAGAAGCCGGGACCAGTCGTCTTGGCGTTTATCGCAGAAGAGTCGAATGTACTTTTTGACTTCCTGGTTAGCGCGCTCTGTCTGTCCGTTGCTCTGCGGGTGGTAGGCCGTAGTGAGACTCGAGTTGATTCCTAGCCGCTTGTACAGTTCGCGCATTAGCTTAGCGGCGAACTGCGGACCGCGATCCGACACAATCTCGTCGGGGATCCCATGCAGCCGGAATATCTCACGATAATGCAAATCGGAGATACCCGAAGCGTCTACTGTGGAGGTCGTGGGTATGAAGTGCACCTGTTTGCCGTAGAGATCAATGAACGTGGCTATGGCGTTGAATCCGTTGGACAGTGGCAATCCAGTGATCAGATCGACGCCCATCGTAGTCCACGGTCCTCTAGGCACGGGCAGGGGGTGTAGCTGAGCCGGCGGATGAGCTGCTGGCTTGTAGCGCTGACACCTGTCACATCCTGTGACGTACTTCTCCACAAACTTGGCCATTCCTGGCCACCAGTAATGGCGGCTGACCAGCTCAAGGGTTCCATTTCTACCGGGATGTCCTGCCGTGGGCGCGTCGTGGCATTGACGTAAGACTTCTGTGCGCAGCCCATCGTCGGCAGGGACATAGACTTTCCCTTTGTAGTAAATGATACCCTTGTCTTCTTCCCATTCGAAGAGTCCGTTCGTCAATCGACGTGGGCCATGCTCACGGAGCTCGCGTAGCGCGGTAAGCACCTCAGCTTCGCGCTCGCTAGCCTGACGAAGGCGGTCTTCTAGTGGGGATTCTGGCTCGTTGAGGGTAGCAGAAATCTCCGCGAACCGCTCAGGCTTCAACACGATCTGACCCTGGTTATCCTCCGCATCCGTGACTTGGAGCGAAGGGATACGTGACAGGGGATCGGCCTGAGTGTTCGTCTTTCCGGGTTTATGCGTCATCGTGAAGTCGAAGCGTGACAACCATAACGACCAGCGAGCTTGTCTCCGTCCTAAGTTCTGCGAAGTTCGCCAGAACGTTAGGTTTTTATGATCGGAGATGATCTCGAAGGGGGCCGGAAGGCCTTCCAAATAGTGCCTCCAGTCCTCGAGAGCTCTGATGATAGCTAGCATCTCGCGGTCGTAGATCTCATAGTTGCGCTCGGCTTCCGCCATCGACTGTGACCTAAACGCAACCGGGTGCCAGAGATTATCTGCCGTCTTTTGCAGGATAACTCCACCGGTCGCGAACCCGGAAGCATCCACTTCCACGCGCGTAGGACGGTCGGGTTCCCATGTGACTAGAATGGGTTCCGACGTGAACGCGTCCTTAAGCGTCTGGAATGCTTCTTTCTGCTCTGGCCCCCAATGCCAGGATACGTCTTTCTTGGTCAGGTCATTCAGAGGACGTGCTGTCTTAGCGAAGTCCTTGATGAACCGGCGATAGAAGTTGGCAAAGCCCAGGAACCCTCGAAGTGCTTTCAGGTTCTGGGGGTCCGGCCAACTCGTGATCGCCTGGACCTTGACTTGGTCCATGCTGACCTTTCCTTCCGAGATTACCAAGCCTAGGTACTCGACGCTCGTCTGCTCGAATTCGCATTTCTCGGGTCGCAGGAACAAGTCGTGTTCCTGTAGCCGGCGGAGAACTTCGCGTACTACTTTGCGATGTTCATCCAAGTCCGTACTGTATATTAGGATGTCGTCTAGATATACAGCTACTTTTCCAGCGGCGATGAGATCGACGAAGATGGAATTCATGAGCGTTTGGAATGTCGCTGGGGAATTGGTGAGGCCGAAGAACATGACGTTCGGCTCGAACAGTCCGCGGTTGGTTACAAACGCCGCTTTCCATTCGTCACCTTCTTTGATACGGATATTGTTGTATCCCCAGCGGACATCGAACTTCGTGAAGTACTTGGCTTGGCGTAGCCGGTTGACTATGTCGGTAGCAAGCGGGAGCGGGTATCGGTTCTTGATCGTGACATCGTTTAGCTTACGATAGTCTTGAACCATCCGTAGCTTGCCGTCCTTCTTTTTGACGAAGAAGACAGGCGAAGCGATTGGTGACTTGGAAGGCACAATGTAGCCTTTCCGGAGGTTCTCTTCTAAGAACTTGTCTAGTTCCGCTTGCTCGTTTACCGGCATTGGATACACTTTCGACCGTAGCGTCTCGGGCGCGTCTGGCTTTAGGTCGATCGTGTGATCCCACGGCTTGTGCTCGGGAAGACGTTCCGAGTCTGCCTCCGAGAAGACTTTGGCGAAGTCTCGATAGTGCTCCGGCACCATCTCCTCGAAGGTCTTCTTGGACTTCTGCTGATTGGCTTGGGCTGCCAGTGTGGTTGAGTACGTTACACCTGCGCAGCACCAGAGCTCATCGGCCAAGTCATCTATAACTCCGCGCTTCTTCCATTCGCGCCGGAGTTTCCTCGTCCCGGCGATCTTCTGAAAGGGGAGATCATCGTTCTCAGATGAAACCGGCTCCTGCGGTTCCTCGTCAAACGTGACCGTACCCTCCTTCCAGTTGATGCTAGGATTCACCTCTCTTAGCCACGGAATACCCAGTATCATATCTTCCTTGTTCAGATTCGTAACTAAAAAATCGCACACCTCATCAAAGCTACCTACTTGTAATCTAAGACGAGCATAGTGAGTGATGCTACCAGCTTTGTTCTTACTGCCATCGATGTTATACAAAACAATCGGATGCTTCATAGGAACGGTAGTTACATGATTTTCTAGTACAAAACGAGAAGAAATGAACAACCCCGTAGCGCCTGAGTCAATCATGGCAGCTACTTGCTTTTCTCGACGTTTTCCGGAGACCAATACATCAATACGTAAATGTACATCTCGAAGCTCTGATTCTGGTATAGTACAACTAGCTATGCGAATAGAACCGAAGAAACGCCAATACCTGTCCCACGACCACGACGCCGCTGCCACGGTAGCGTGTGGTCGATCTAAAAAGCCTTTTTGAGGGCTTCGATCTGTGCTGCGAGCTCAGCCTGCTGCTTGAGCATCGCGTTCACCACGTCGGTCATCTGCGAGGTGGCCGCCACTGTCTTCTCCTCGCTTGTCGACGAGGCAGTTTCCGGAGAGAAGATCTCATCCACTTCCTTGTCCGTAGAGGACGTCGAAGACGTCGCAGCTGCCGTTGCCTTCTTTGGCAACCCGAGGAACCGTCTTTGGCAGACCGGGGCCTTGTGCCCGGTTCCACTGCACCAGTCGCAGACGTCGCGCTCGTGACCACCGTCTCGCTTGACGTGATCCTTGGAACCGCAACCAAAGCAACGACCGCCCATGACCTTGAGGAAGTCTGCCCGGGTCTTCCCGTTACCGCCTTTCGGCGCCTGCAGTGTCGCGTCGATGTCCATTGCGTTCGGATCTTTGCTGATCACGAACGGAGCCGCTGTTGTCCTGACCGGGGTACTCGTTGACGAGGTACTCGACGTTTTACCAGCCTCGCGGGCCTTCTCGGCACGGCGTTGACGCAGCCGTGTGTCAAAGTCCGCAGCAACCAACATGAGTTCATCGAGCGTCTTGGTAGAACGCTCGGTTGTCGGGAGGAGGTCCTTGATGTCGTTGCTGAGATGCTCGTAGAAGCGATCTCGCAGGTCACCGTCCGAGTAACCAGTCCGTTCCATGACCTCACGGAAACGCGCAGCATATTCCGGAACTGAGAGCTTGCCCTGATACAGCTCACGAAGGGCCTTCTTCGCGTCCGCCGACTCGTCCTGGGTCTCGAATCGTAGCTTGAATGCCGTGACGAAGGCATCCCAGTTCGAGAACGCAGGCTTCTCAGCCACCATTGCCTCGATGTAGGGCGTAGCCCAGACCGCTGCCTCATCTGTCAGGAACGACAGAGCCGACCGTACCCAGCGCTGATCATCGCGCTGCCATAGATCACCGACGCGTGTGTTGAGTTTGCTGCCCATCTCCTGCGCGTAGAGGGAGAAGGCAGCCACGAAGCGTCTGGCGTCCGGGCTGGACTTGCCGGAGTAGGTAGCCGGGCGCTGAACCGTGCTTTTGTTGTCGGAGGACCGACCCGAGTTATTGGCGAGAGCAGTGACCTGCGTGGTCAGCTGCCCGAGCGTCGTCTGCGTCTGCTGCAGGCCTTGGGCGAGACCTTGGATCATCTCCAAGATCTGGGTGCCGGTCATTGCGTTTGCCATGTCGTCGACGTTGACTGGCGGGGGAGGTGCTTCTGTTTGGGGAGGTGCGGGCGCTGTTTCTTGCGCCGGAGGGATATGAGTGTGAGAGGATTCAGCTACTTCTTCACTGAGGTCCGATTCTTCTTCGAGGTTTGCGTTCTCGGGAGTACACTCCACGTATCGGGTACTGCGTCGATAGGTGTTGGTATACCTGTTCGGGCAGGGGTGGGTTTTGCACGCAAATAGTTTGCCGGTGAGGGTTACGTATGTATCCTCGTTGTCTTGGACGTCGTAAACGTGCCGAAGACCGTCGCAATCCAGGGTGTCAGAAATATTGGACAACCTGCTTCCTTTGGAGACGCCGTAGGCCTAACCCCCGTATCACGTCTCTTTGGGATTAAGGCTATCTAACACTTCTATGTGAGGGACCCCGAGGACCCTTATCCTATCACAGGATTCTTAGAGCACAAGCGTACGTACTCAACAGAAATCCGCTGGCTGCTTTATGCCTGTTACGGTATAGCTCGCAGGTTCCAGGAACCGCTTCGACAGCTCACGCAACGTAGCTAAGCTGACTGCCTTGGATACGCTCAGTCTCCTCGACCTATTGCGCCTGTCTGCCTACAGAAACACGAGTTCTGTGGCGCTAGCCTTGGCTTCCGATTGCCGCTTTTCACAGCCTCCCAAGGTCTAGAAGACCAAGACTTCCACGCAAATCTACACCCGACCTATAGCCTATGGTAGGGCCGTGTCCAGATGCAGGGCTCAGGGATGTAACCCAAGTGCTTACGTTTCCGTGTGACTGTACGCGTGCGCACGGGGTACCAACGCTAGGAGTTCTATACTATGCTAAGGGTTTTAGGTGACGACGCGGCCAACTGCGGCGTGTCAGGTAAGAAGAAGTAGGAGCTCGTCCTAATGTCGCGGAGCTAGGTCTGACGCGACTAGAAACAGAACTAAAACAGAAAACACTTGACCTCCAGGTGTTGGACCGAGGTCAACAACAGTCTAGACAGCGTAGGACGCAATGACTAGCAACTCCAAGTTAGTTACATTGCACTCTACTTAGTACAATGTGAAGTGCTTACCTAGCAACTCCAAGAGGACAAGCTGGAGTGCTAGGCAGCGTACAGGACCCTATATACTGGCTAGGTTGAGGGCAGGTCTACCTACGCTGGATCCGAGAACTGAGGTCATGTGTACGTATGAGTCAGAACGAGTCAGAACGAGTCAGGTGGCTAGGCGCTGCCGCAGGGCACATGATAAATTACATAAGCAAGGCCACATGATGAACAAGTCACAAGACAAACCCTAGCACGTGATGTGTCACGTGGCTAGTCAGAAAGCCGTTCCAGGCGAAGTCTACCGTACAGCGTATTGTACAAGTCCATAGAAAATGAGCAAAAATAGGATAAAACAAAGTAAAAATATGGGGCCTCCGTGTCATACCATGACAGATATCAGACATGGCTGACGAACATGTGCCACGAGCAACATCAAGCGCGAGTGAATAGCGGGCATGGGTGGGAGACAGGCGGGCAGGTGAGTACCCACGTCTATGTACTTTGAATTCGTGTATCCCCCTGTATCCCCCTACCTGTCTGCCTTCATCTGAGTGCAGGCCGCATGCGCGCACTTCCGCCCCGGCTCCTCGCGCTCCCGCTCCATCTACTGTACCACACCCCGAAGGCCACTCAACATGTCAAGTCCCGCCGTCTCACAGCCGCCCGGCTCCCACTGATGAGGATCGCCGCACCACCCAACGCAACTGCGCTCAGCGTATCCATCACGACCGTCGTCTGTCAACATCATCTCGCGTGTCGCCTCCGACACTCAAAGGTCCGAAGTGTCCGCCCAGCCCCGGCCCCGACAACCGCAACGTTGAGACGGAATGCAGCCGTGTTAGCAGCATCAGCAGCGCCCGCAGCGGTAACAGCAGGCACGTCTCCTCATTTTAGCTCTGATAGTTGATCTTCTCCTGTCCCTTCCCATCTCCGAGTCTTGCCTATCCCCTTCGGTCAGCAACTAACGCAGCACTCACCAGAGACTCGGACGGGTCAACCTGAAGCGTGAAGCTACCCGCCATCGCCTGCACCTGCGCCCGATTGGCATGAGCCTCCCTCTGATTAACCACGGGCATGCGAGCCCTAGCGGGTCAGGCCCGCCAATGCTGGGGTCGATGGACGAGGACCGCCGGCCGCACCACGCTGTGTGCTGTTGAGTTCAGCTCCCTCCGTACAGGGTAAGGAGGAAGGGTAGATTTTTAGTCAAAGAGGGGTAGTGGTATTAGGTGTATGTGACGAGTGTATTGTCCGAGAAGACAAGTCTATGTGAGAGCGAAAATATAGAGAGTTCCTTCCGGGCTGTCTGCCCGAGTTGAGAGCCTCCGAGTCCGAGTCCTAGTCCGCGTCCGAGAGTGGGTCCTACGTGTCCTCTCCCGCTCCCTCTGACCCGCTACTTATCCTCCTTCAGCCGAGCTCACGTGCCCCCTCCTCCTTCCCTCCGGGTCTGCCCCCTCCCTTCCCTCTCCTCCCGCTCACGCCTTCTTTCCTATACCGATGGCGCAGCCCCCGAACCCCACCACTTCGTCGCACTCCGCTCGCTACCTCCATCTAGTCGAGGTTCTCCAGTGCGAAGGAATGTTCGAGCCCCGGTTCGACGTAGAGCACGCCACTGCCTGGCTTGCCTGGGCTCATGGTGCTCGCTGGCTCGTGGTTCGTCAGCCTCCGTCGTTCTCCGCGTCCCTCCTGACCTGTCTGCATTGCCCCAGCGGATGCTCTTCAAGTCCTACGCTCTAGCGACCGCTCACGGCGACGCCCGCATCCCCCTTCCGTCCGGTATCCCCGAGGTCTGCGAGCTTATCGAGCACCTGGACCGCATGTTCCTCAACCTCCGCTCCGAGCAGAACGAGGTGCCGCTCCTATACGCGACCATCCCTTGGTCCCCGAACCAGCTTCAGAGGGAGCAAGCCGCCGCGGAAGAAGCCCGACCCCCTCCTCCTCCGTCGTATAATGATCCTCCCCTCCGCCTCTCCTCCCTCCGTGGTTCGACCGACAACTGGGACCGCGTCCTTGCCGCGACGGACCGTTCCTTGGATGTCCTCCGCCTTGAACTCGGCCACCTCCACCGCGGCGTGGCTGAGGCCCGGATCGACCAGCTGTCCGTGATGCGCGAAGTAGTCTCCATCTCGGGCCGTCTAGAGGACATATGTGACGCGCGAGACATCCCTCCCCCGTTGGAATTAATCCGTGACTGAACCCTTACGAGTAGCATCTTCCTCCGTCCGGTCTGTTCGCCCCAGTACCCGTATGTCCTGGCATGTAACGGCTTGCGGAGTTCAATAGATCTGACTTGTGACGCGTTTGAATCACCTCGTAAGACGTCCCGTTCCAGTCCTGTTGCCGCGGCCCGATCCTTGTCTCCCCAGCTAACGTCCCCGGCCTTCTCTGACTCTCCATCTTCCGGCGGTTCCGGCATCAGCCCATGGGCACCGCCCACAGCGTCTATACTGCGTGGCAACAACCAGGCAGTCTCTGCGCCGTTTCTGGGCTTGGTCATCAACCTCAACATCTCAACTGCGGCTCACAGGGATAGCAAGGATGACAGCATGTGCTTAGTCCTCGCGATCGGTGATTTTGAAGGCGGAGAACTAGTCCTCTATGAACCTGGTTTGACCATTCCTTTGCGTAACAGCGACTTTGTCGTATTCCCTTCTTGTGATCTGACTCACTTCAACCTACACTTCAAGGGTCGTAGAGCCTCTATTGTACTCCATACTGACCGGGAAATGGCCAAATGGCACAATGGGCGCAACGGATGGTCTAGTAACCGTAATCTTATTTGACGTACTCTCTGACCTATTTTCCCTACAATTGTTCTTCTGTAACCCTACTGGTCCATTCATGATGTTCGCAGCAGTCGTCACAAGCTGAAATAACACGTTCAGGAAGCTGATAATGGCTTGGACTTGCTCAACGGCCTCGATGGGACTTTGCTGATTAAGCTGCACGTGTCCCAAATTGCTTCTACCACTGCGAAGAGGGAGGCCGCGGAACTTCGATAAGCTTGGCGGCCTTCGGGTTCAACACATCTCCGCCCTCCTAGCGTACGCTTGGCACACTCTCAGTCTTGTACACCCATCTGCCCTGCGTTGTTGCTGTTGAAAATGGCGCCTCACGCACCCGCTCAGCCGCGAGGCCCCTGGCACCAGTAACAGCACTCGCGCGAACACAGGCGCCACGCAGATGAACCGTGCAAATGCTGCGGAGGACAGGGGAGCTCCCTCCGGCAGTGATGTTCCCGATGAGGACCTCTCTGACGCTGCCTTACACAAGAGAATCGCTGAGCTGACCAAGATGGCCGAGTTGAAGCGCAAGAGGAAGGCAACGACAAAAGCCTCGCTGGCCAAAGAACAGCGCGTGGAAAGTAAGTCGTGTATTTGTTGCAATCGAGGACTCTGATAATGTTGCATGATAGAGATCCGTAAGAGGAAGTTAGAGGCCATGGACACTGAGCAGCGTGACACCAGTGAAGAGCCCCCCAAGCCCAAGAAGAAGAAGAAGGCTAAAAAAGCTGAAGACGACGACGTGCTTGAAGGTACGAAGAACAACAATGAAGGCCGATCTGACGAGGGGAGTGGCCGTGATGACGTCCAGGAGCCGATGGACGTGGAGGCGGTTGAAGAGGAGGATGACACGACTGTCCTATCTACATCAGGAAAAACCGTGCCTACATAAGGTCTCATCAGAGGTCATTTACAAGACATCTTAGGAACGTATAGGACACAAAAGACATAAAATGTTACATAAGACCAAAACGTGGCACTTAAGACAAGTCCCCGTCTTATTGTGTCTTTGATATTATGCATAAGAGCACTAATGTACGCAATAAAGACATCTTGTGTCTTATTCAGTCTTAATTGTGTTGTCATTTTGGTCTTTAGTTGCCCTTATTTCACCTACAATATGTACTTCAGTGGGCGTGCTGAAGTACAGTTATGTACAGAATTAAGTCTGCTGATGTCCACTTATGCACATGTACCAGATCACATCATAAATATTAGTAGTGCGGGTTGTTGTACAACATATACAGACACATAACTACTGGTATAGCACGATCAACAGATAGGCATAGACTCGAGGTCAGACGGCGCCGGGATGACGACCATGGCTGAGACAGGCAAATAGTAGTAGAGGGGGAGTGGGATACGTAGCAGGCACGCACGTCTGATGTGTAGTACATCAGGGAAAACCGCCCATGTTCCCAAACATATTCCAACGTATTTTAACATAAAATAATCGGTTTCAACATGTTAGGCCTGCCGCAACATACTCAACAAAGGTACCCATGTTATAAGAGACGCTTGCTCAATGCAACATGTTTACGCGTTGTTTAATCAGTTCAGACATGTTATTGTGAATCCTTCAAACCGGTGAGGGGCTGTTGGGGCTTTTGGTTAAATTGTTTCAAGGGTGGTTCATTGGCACTTTAAGTCTGTTTCCCCTTGGTTGGTTGCCGTTCTAATAGTGTCTTAATGTGTTTTAACCGGTTGAGAGTTGATTCGGCCCCATTTTGTTGTTCTTGGGTTGTCTCTGGGTTGGTCAATAATCGATCAAAATGTTTGCCCATCCGCTCCTGGTTGCTCCCAGTGGCTCTGAATTTGTCTCAACCAGTCAAATATACTGACGGCTTCCCCGGCTCGGCCCGTTGGTGCATATGCGTGGAATGATTCATGAATATAATGCGCGTGACGTGACGATAAGGGATACAGCAGATGGCAAAGATACAGTACGGACGGTGCGGATGCGGCGACCAAAGAAAGTAACTGGGGCATCATGGAAGAGGGCAACTCGGTGTACCATTTGGTATGAAGAGAGGGGGACACGACAGAGTACAACAACCTTAAGTCCGGTCAACGAGATACTATCCTACAAGCCCGAGAACGCGGTTGTGTGCCCGGGGTGCAGCCTGACAATGATGTCAGTTGAGAGACCGATAGCCCAGATTCAGTCCATGCCTTTGCGTCACAAACAGAGGTGGCCACAGACTCCGACCTAGTCTTTGTCCCCACTACCAGCGTTCGACGGCCCAGCCTCAGCAGCACGCTGCGACGCAGCTGGGGTAGCGTTACTGGCGGCTCGCCGCCGCCATTTCGCCTTCAACATCCCAGTGTTGAAACCCGGGTCTTCGGCTACGGCCTTCTTGGCTTTGACGTTCTTGCCATCATCGCGCTTGAGGTTAGCATACACCCTGTTGAGCCATGTGAGCATGCTTCTTGGAGAAAATAACCAACTTACTTGATGTGATCCTTCAGCGTCTTGTTCATGGAGTTGGCCAGTTCAACCAAGTCCTCGCCGCGTCGGATTACATCCACACCAATCTTCAACTTATCGTATCTGTCACTGATGTCAGAGGCTACATCGCATACAGCAGCGTAAAGGGCATACACAGCTGCATACACCTTCTGTTGAAAGTGAACGGATGTGGCATCCAACACATCGTCGAAGGCGGCCAAGATCTGCAAGTTGTTCGTCTGTTATACAGCACCGTCACGGACAATGATCTGATCACTTACGGCGCAGCAGGCAAGTGCTATCATGTTGCTTGGGATGATTTTGCACTGCCCGTCGAGGTCGTACTTCTCCCTGCAGCCCGGCCGGAAGGCGTCTGGATTTTTTCCTGTGTACCACATACCGGCAATGACTTCTGCGATCACATGGTTGTGGAACGGCATGTCCAGCTCCGGCTCGTCCCACAGCTAGCTCGAGTCAGTAACCGTCCAGAATATGCGCAATAGCAACAACCCACTTCAGGTTCAACGTCAGGCGGGGGCAGTTTGATTTGCCCGTAGTGGAAGATGTTGTTGGCCTTCAGCCATCGGATGCGCTTCTTCTGGGCCTCTTTCAGCCTTTCGTTGAGCTCTTCCGCATCTTCATCCTGATCTTCAGAACCGCGTGGCAGCTCCGCAAAGAGGAACACCCTATTGACGACCAGCCTGGCCTTCTGTTTGATCTCTTGACGAACCTGAGGGGCCATCTTGTTGACCTGCACGCAGCAACTTTAGCATTGGATGGCAATCATGCACCTCACGTACTCTGGAGACGATCTTAGCTTTAGTCCTGTCCAGATTCCATTTCGGCTCAAACAGCTCCTGGAATTCCTTCGTCTGGTATCGGCTGTGGGAGCGTATGAGCCGCTCAATGATATCAGCAGGCACTTGCTGCTTCTCGTTCACGCCATCCCTCATGCGCGGCCATGCGTTTTCCAGAGATACGTACGCCTTGAACTCTTGCTGCGCTTTGTCAATGAGGCTCTTGACCCTCTCGTCCTCCATGAACGTTTCGAACGCGCCCACGGCCTCCTTGTTGGACTCAGACGTCTTCTCGTTGGACTTGGACTTCTTTCTCAACTTCCGCCCCTTGGGAGCTGTGTCCCCGTCGCTCTCCGACTTGATGATCATCTACGAGCAAACGGTTTAGTAGATAGGTTTAACTATAGTGAGAGATTACCTTGTCATCGCCGTCATCTTCGCTGTCATGCTCTTGCTCACTACCCTCTGGCTTGTAGGGCGGGCTGTCCTTGTTGTCCTTCTCCTCGTCGCTCCCCTTCTCCTCGTCGCTCCCCTTCTCCTCATCACTGCCCTTCCCCTTGTCGTCTCTCTTCGCCTCGTCGCTCCCCATGTCGTCGTCACTGTCCACCACAACTCGAGCCGTCGCCTTTGGGCCCCTCGCACCTGATGAAGTACTAAGCTACATCGTTAACTCGGAGCAAATGTACTCACCAAGGCGTGCAGCGAGACTGTCCTCGTCCTGGGATGGCGCTATCTTCTTGGCGCGCTTTGGGGAAATTGGAATCACGACCTCCATCTGACGCTTCGAGTTCGGCCGCCCTGTTGGAACGACAGAGATCTTCGCTTTCTTCTGCCCACGCTTCGTCAAGTCAGACTCGCCATTGCTACCCTCGTCGTCGGAAGAATCGGCGGCCTTCCTTTTTCCTCGCAGCGGGGTAGATGGTGGCTTCGCAGGCGGCCCTGAGACAGCCTCAGAGCAACGATCACAATAACACTGAATTGAGTTACATACCCGCTTTCTTTTTCCCCTTGTCGCGAGCAGCGGGCTCATCTGGCTCGACCTCATGTTCATCGCAGGGGTCGGCTTCCTTGTCGCTAGGCTCCAGCTCATCGACTTCCCCACCAGTCGACCCCTCGTTGTTCATCATGGCAGCCATCTTCTCCTGTATGTCTGGGTTCCATAGAATATATTGAGTATCATTATGCTATGGACATCGGCTCACCTTCCTGACGCTCCTTCTCCCCTGAGCCCCTCTTCTTGACCTCCTGAGCCACGGCGTCCCTCGCTACCTTGTCCAGCTCTTTCTCTGGCAAATTGAGTACCGTCCTCATATGTTTCTTTACTTCCTTAAGCCTGGCATGATAGCTCATGGGAGCGGGGGCAGGGGACGACAGGTTCAGCATCATCGTTGTGGGACGAAGACTGGGGCTTGGGCTTTGCCGTCTTCGTGACCTTGGGCTTCTCTACTGCCGGCGTCGCTGTCGCGGCCTGGGGCTTGTCCTTGGCGCCCTTAGTTGCTTTGGCGGTTGAGCGTGTTGCGCGAGGGGGCATGGTTCAAAGGGACTAAGTGCAGAGAGTTGGGACAAAAGAGTGATCAAACGCACAATACACCCGAGATGTGCAATCTCTTCAGAGAGGTCGGAGTGGCGGGGACGCACGGAACCCGGATCCGTGTGCTCCGAAAGACCGACGAAGGCGAAATAATCTTACCCAGCGGGATGAACAATCAGTCCGGTGCAAAGACAAGTGTTGGGATCGAGTTGAACATTGGTTGTGACACCTTCCGTTGTGGCGTACGCAAGCCAAATAAGTACATAGGGCCGTCTGGGGCGAACATTGTACGTACAGGGCGCTGGCGCTAATGGAACTACCGAAAATGATTATTCTCGAGCCAACCGTTAAATCCATCCTTGGTCCACTTGTCCATCTCCTTATCTGTGTGCAGAACCATGGAGGCACGACGGCCAGAAAAGTGCAAGTTGAAGTGAGTGGTACGAGCAGAAGGGAATGCAGCAATATCCCCGTTACGAAGCGGAATAACCAAACCAGGCTCATACAAGCATAAATCTCCTCCATCGAACTCCCCAATGACCAAGACAACGCACAATGTCTTGTCTTGATGATCTCTGTGAGCGAGAGTGGCGACATTGAGGTTGACGACAAGAGAAAGGAAGGGATACACAATTGAGTGCGCATTTCCGGGCAACATGTCCGCGTCAATGCGAAGGTCGTCGTAGTCCATCCGCAGGACATCCTTGATCTAGATAACAATCATGATTTCTTCAGCACCTCAAACTGATACGTTTCGGATACTTACCTGCCCCGCTATCCATTCGAAGACCCTGGCAAAGATGCGGTTGAGATTATTGTAGAGCTTCATATGTTTAGTCTTCTCTCGTGATTCGTAGGGGAGCATTTGGCTATAGTTCGTCCTCGATGTGTCTTCTCTCTCGATCAACATGGGATGTGCATCGACAGGAACATCGTGGCCCTGCAAACGTCCACTTGTCAGTACAAGCCTAAGTTCTACCTGAGCACGACACACTGACCCTAGTACCATGGCGGTTGTACCATGAAAAATGTAGAGCCGGGAAGCTGTACCTCTCTCCTTGAGAGGACGAGTCTGTCTCTTCCAGGTTTTCTGGTTCGTCCTCGAAGCAAGCTTTCAAGTGTACAGTGAGCATCCTTCTCATATCTTCGGGCATGTGGGGAAGTATGCATGCGATCAAAGACCCATCACTGTCATCGATACAAAGGGGCCCTCTATCGAGTCATGAGCCACACGAGCTTGAACGGTTGTTACGGTTCTCTTACCCGGCAATATCAGGCTTTATCCTGATGTATTCCTCGTAGTTCGCTCGCCCACCGTTGCTGTAGATACTAGAGAGCTATGAAAGCAGTCCGCGGTGTCATTTAGCAATCTCTCTCTACACAACGAGCCACGACTTACCTTGTCCTTCAAATCCTCCAGTGTTTCGGGCATCTGTGCAGCTTGCGCGAGTAATCGCTCCTTTTCCGTCCAGGCCGTTGCTGTTATGGGTGGGCATCACTATGCTCACTGATTAGATTAGATTATGAACTGATAGTGTACATCTCATCTTATCTCGTTGTACCTAGCCACTTGACTTCCATATTGGGAAGTAATCTATTCTTACTGCTGAACCACCACCTCGTCCGTGTGCGACACCGCGCCGTCCGAGTACGTTCAGCACTCCTTCTCGGCTTGAGCTCCTCGCCTCGCCTAGGACTCCCCCTCGATCTGGCTCCTCGCCAGCTCTAGGACTCACCTCTAGGCGCGGCTCCTCGCCCTGCTACGACGACAGCAGCGCTCCTCGCTCTGCTACGACGCCAGCGGGAGCTCCTCGCCTCGCTCACGACCTCACGACAACACGACAACACGTTCCCGGTCGCATCGCGACCACCAAGCGTCGAGTTCACAGGCAGCCCGGCCCCCGAGTCTAGGGTTCCAGGCCCACGAACTCTAACAGTTGCTTCCGAGTGCAACCTCGGTACTGGATATGAACGGTGAGCGTCGTGACTAAGGCTGAACTGTTCAACCTGAATGCAGCTGTTCGATACAAGTTCCGGGTTCATGATCACGTTGTCAAGCTGTTCCATTCCAGGTTCGTCGTCCTCATCCAGAACTGTAATGGATGTGGATCCGTTATTCATGCCGCGATGTCCCGGATGAAAGATGGCTTGGCTGATCTGAGCGAGGGACATCGCACCGTGGCATTGGGGTTCAGTTGGTACACCCGATAGGCAAGACGCCCAGGCTACAGGATTCCTCTTGATGGCGGTGAAGCGGCTAGCATAACCTCCAATGGTCAATTACGGCCAAAGCCTCGAGTGGTTTTAGAATCTTACTTCAGTATCAGAGAGTCAAACATCACATCAGATTGTTGCAATCCGTGCAATCAAGCACGGTCGTCGCGAGCCCAAGTTCCTTCAACTGGTCGGGACTGAACAGGCTGTCGAATGTCAAGGGAAAATATGATCGGAGCGCGTTGATAGCTGGGATTATCTGTTGAACCACTATCGTCCCTGTGTCCGTATCTGTAAACCGAAATCAGATTAGTCGGACTATGATTCATGCCGAGGCACTACATATACATACCCCCGGGATCTCGAAGAACGTCTGCAAGTGAGTATGCAAACTCATTGATGCTCGCTGTAAGCAATGTACGCTGGCCCGCCAGAACAATGAGCAGCAGGGCGTAGATAGAGCCTGACAGGACGAGGTTTTTACTCGTGAACGCTGCACAGAAATATCCACGTACCACCAGCTGCTATGGCAGCGAACTTGCTTCCAATGGCATTCCAATTTGCGAATGTACGCCAACTTGGTGCTTGTTCAATATTTGCGAGGTATTCGTCGTACACTTGTCCAATTGTAAAATTCCTCAAGCGACGAATGCTGTTAGTCGCTAGTATCAGTTCATGTGGACACTGGAGATTGGGAGTTAACTAATGCCCCACCTTGATGTCTTGCATGCCAATTGAATATATTGCATGATAAAGACAAAGCTTGAACACATGTCACCTGCGTCGATGCGCGAGCACCTCCGGACTACGGAGACCAGGGAATAATCACCGAGGGCGTCATCTCCCGGGCCATCCCCTCCTTTCTTCATCATCGTGCGCATGATGGAGAGTTGCGAGTGCACCTCAGTGGACGTCAGATCAACCAATCCTAAGATCCCAATGAATGCCGCTACTCCAGGCTTCGCTTTCTCTGCAGCCCTCTTGGTGAGCTGCTTCCATTTTCTAAGGGACGAGCCCCTGCGACAGTCCGTGTCCCGGAGTGCTTGGCGACCGGGTTTTGCGCCACGCTGGGTACTCTGTCCGCCGGGACTCTCCAAAAGGGGGGCCCGGCGACCCGTTAATTTCTTCAATGCCGACATCTTCGCGCTTCGACCCGAGCGACGCAACACCGGCTTGTCGGATGGGGCGGGTGGACTTGCTGTAGTAGTTGTGTCCTAGAGCAATCTCAACAGGAATGGGCTACCGAACGTACCTTGGCAAGGCGCCTCTCCCCCTTCATCAATATCTTCCTCCTCTGAGGCACATTGGCGATATGCGGATCCAATTTGGTACAGGCGTACCCGAACAGTTTGTAGGGGCAGAGAAACAATTTCCAAAGAGTCTAGGAGAGATTGTAACGCACGACACTCCTCCTCGGAGAGCGCTAGCGTTAGTTGATCGAGTCCCGTCATAGTCGGAGGTGAGAAGGCGACTGGCGCCCGTTGTGGGCATCATGGCATTAATGGGCCCTTGGGGCACGCACTTTACCGGCGGATATGGGATTTGGAGAGCGGCCGGAGTCAGGGGATCTATCACAAAATAAATTCAAGAACGCGGAAACAAACTTTGTACCCGGGCTGTAGCGTCCATCACCACGAGTCGGTGGGCCGCAATGGCCCACTCCTCGGAAACATGCCATAGAACCTGCGCCGATAGGTACCCTTCTCGGTCCTCCTGCCACACCCTCAGGTCCTCCAGGTCCTCGTCCTGGATCTCCAGCACGGCAAGGTTATTGTGAGCTTTCGACACGTATAGAATTCGTTGGTAGATGAGCGGGGGAAGGGCCGAGGTCGGGTCCTCAAGCTCGTTGAAGAAGGTTACCGCCCTCATCAACGCAAACGCATGGTCCATCTGTTGTTGGACGTGGAGGGCGAACTCTGTAACGACCTGATCTACCAAGCCCCCTATGCGAAGGGGCTCCAGGTTCATCAGCATAAGGCGATTTCTGATTACATTACCGTTTTACTTACCAGATATATGAATGTTTCCCTGAGATGATGGAGGGTCATCCCGAGCCCAATGAGTGTACTTTTACGTTCCTAACGGTACACCCGGGCTGCATATTCCCCGTCGTCAACGGAAACCCGACGTCGGCCGGTGGAACGGAAGTGAGCGCCGGAAGCCGGGCGGGCGGGCATGCTGGCCTGTGGTTCCTATTGCGGCGGCCGATTGTCGGATCATATGTTGTAAAGCGAGCCGGCCGGATGTGAATTGTGGAAACCCAGCATATACTAGCAGGCGCAAATATAAAACATTGTAGTGTACAACCCGGCGCGGCCGGAGAGCGTACTGTATTTCACTAGCATTACGGCCGAATACGTACCGCCCGTCAACATTGATACCGCCGGTGTATTATTCCACTGCGTACTTTATGACATCAACCGGACGCTTCGTTTGCAGCACGCTATTCACACAGCGGCCGCCCTTGAGGCGCAGCGTTGTGGCCTAGGCGGCCGGCGGCTGTGCATCGTTTTGTCACACCTTCGACCAATTGTACATGTCAACATCTTTTGCAGATTGGCCTGCAAAAGAAAGCATTGCAGTGCCCGTGTCGGCCGCTGTTAACGCTCGCCACGGCTAACACAGCGGCCGGAGTTGAATTTGTTTATCAAACATTCACCGGCCGGTTTCTCTGACGACATTGATAGTGATACATTCAACTCTGTATAAGACAATTGCAGCGGAGCGGTCGGTATCACATTCCATATAGTTTAAAGAACCGGCCGCCATGTGCCTCAGCCTGTAGCTTCCCAACCGGCCGATCGAAACCCGGTCTTTCAATACAGCTCAGCCGGTACCCGTTGTACCCCACTAAATCCATCCGGCCGAATGTATATTCCAGCTTTGGAAACGATACAATCAAATGTGTTTTTCAAGGCTCTGGCACGACCGGCCGGGCCGTAGCCCCACTTATCCACAACGCTGCGGCCGGTCCCACTACACATGACTGAAATGGAACCGGCCGGCGACGTTAGATCTCATAGGAATAGGACCGGCTGGTGCTTACTTCTTGTTGTTCTTGATGGCACGGCCAACGCCTAGCCCACTGATGAAGCCTATTTGGCAGTTGTCTTTGATTCGTTCAAATGAAGGAAAATAGAGCTGCTTCACCCTGTGCAAGTGGTACTGCACTATCATGGCAGTAATGTCATGTAATGCATATGCTAATGTGCTGCTCCCATTGAAGCCATAAAATTAGGCCCTAACCATAACCATCAGCTAGAGAACACATGGCTGCCTGCAGGTATCCTCATGGTGTCCACATGTTCATGTTTGATCGTGTTAGTGGAACTGTACAGTTCTACATGAGGCTCCCAGAACTGAGAATGACTGTACACGGCGACACCTTTCACAGCAACCATCATGTCCAATTTTGATGAGGTCAACGACTATGTCAGCCGCACCTATCACTACCACGTCAATGCTAGGCAGGATATGAACTCAATGCCGCCGCTTATCAATCCCCGCATCCCGCGGGCACTGTCACATCAAGCGAGAGTTGCTGGAAAAAGATTGGCAGAGGCCCGGTGTAACCAGAGTGGGCCAATCACCAATTCACTTTTGTTAATCATGTTTGCTCATTGTTGACAAGTCGTGGCTCCCTGGGACGCGACGTGCCCGCCGGTTCGTGTGGAAGACTGCAGCACTCCCATGAGAATTCAAATCGCGCCGGCGATTGTAGTGGACAGTGCCGGCCGTATAATTCTCTGGTACCTGCCCAATGTGCTGAGCACCGAATACGAGGTAATATGTTGTGGTCATTGAATGACTCAAGACTGATGGTCTCACCCAGGACCTCATGTGGAACGAGACGGCGGGCATAAATAATCTGTTCCGGGCCAATCCCCCAAATCCTAGGCCGGGAACGTCGTGGAGAAACCAGGCCCGGAACTTTCTACCACAACAGCCTGATCACAGTCTGCATCCGGGGTGTATCTCCATGTCGCCGGGATGGTTTCAGCGGGGACAGACGGTATGCATGCTGCATTGTATGATCCCCACGATGTGCTGAACATACTGCAGGGTGGGGGCAGGATGCCGGAGGTGTCGATGACGCTCAAATCAGCTCAGTCGACAGGGCACCAGTGGCTCCGCTCGCTGCGTGAACCGCACCTGGTCATCTCCGCTATGACACAGATCATGAATCCCGTCCTCTATCAAAGCGGCTTCTTATCAACGTACAAGCTCCATGCGATCGGCGACTGTGCGCCTGTCCTCCGCAACTGGAACATCCCATTCAATGCTCTATCGGTTATCACCAATCGGGCTACTCCATTCCACAGAGATTCCCTCTCCCCGAAGGAGGGTTACGATGTCCTGTTGACCCTCCGGGGCGATACAGACCTTCTACTGCACGTTCCAACAATCGGGACCTCGTTCCGTTACAGTGGCGGCACAGTAATGGCATTTTCCGGAGCCGTACTTCCCCATCAAGTTCCCCTTAGCAGGAGTGAACGGGTCTGCGTGGTGTATTATGCTCGCCGGGATGTTTTGACTTGGGCCGAAGCACCGCCGCTTACGTGGCGTCAGCTATGACATTTCTTTGTAATACATTCCGCCATCTATATACGCTATGGCAGTCAACTCATTGGGCATGATAACAAAGTATAGATGTTGAAGCAGGGCCGACTAATTATTACGTCTCGGCGCCGAAGGTTGGTGAGTGTCCGGCGCCGAGGGTTGCTGCATGCTCGGCGCCGAGGGTTGAGTTGAGTGCGGCGCCGGGGATTCGAATGAGTGCGGCGCCGCGGGTTGAGTTGAGTGCGGCGCCGGGGATTCGAATGAGTGCGGCGCCGCAGGCTGAGTTGGGTGCGGCGCCGGGGATTCGAATGAGTGCGGCGCCGGGGGTTCGAATGAGTGCGGCGCCGCGGGTTGAGTTGAGTGCGGCGCCGAGGGTTCGAATGAGTGCGGCGCCGAGGGTTGGGTTGGGTGCGGCGCCGGGGATTCGAATGAGTGCGGCGCCGCAGGCTGAGTTGGGTGCGGCGCCGGGGATTCGAATGAGTGCGGCGCCGAGGGTTGGGTTGGGTGCGGCGCCGGGGGTTCGAATGAGTGCGGCGCCGCAGGCTGAGTTGGGTGCGGCGCCGAGGGTTGGGTTGGGTGCGGCGCCGGGGATTTGAATGAGTGCGGCGCCGAGGGTTGGGTTGGGTGCGGCGCCGGGGATTCGAATGAGTGCGGCGCCGAGGGTTGGGTTGGGTGCGGCGCCGGGGATTCGAATGAGTGCAGCGCCGAGGGTTGGGTTGGGTGCGGCGCCGAGGTGCGAATGTACAGACAGTGTGGGCACTGGCTTGTCTTTGTTGACAATTTATCATGGCTGTCTTCGTATGACGCTCGCAGGGTCATCGCCTCCCTGATGCCCTGATCATGCACTGATGGTAAGCCCTGTGCAGCCGGCCAGCCTCCAAAGTTTAGGCACAAAATGTGTGGAAATCATTAATTGCGCGGGAAGTGCGAACTTCAATTCGTGCGGTGTCAATAGTACATGTATCAACATCTAGCCCCTCTTCTTGCCACGATGAGATCCCTTCGGCACCCTCTTTACCGGCTTCTTAACCTCCCTGGTCTCGGCGCCCGTATTCTCGGTGTTCAATTTCCGGCGCTGCGAGCCGGTCGCTGGTGCATTCTCCATTGCTGTCTCGGTCCGCGTTCGTTTTCCGTTTTCATTCATAGCGGCCACGTCCTGCCACCGCTGGAGTATGTCGGCACACCGTGGGATGAGGTCCGTCTCGACAAAGGTTTCCGGCAGCTTCGTGGTCTTCACGTGGTCTGCTTCGTATCTGAGCTGTACCCTCGCGTCGTAGTGCTCCTCAACATCTCTAGCTAGCATGCCAATCGCCAACGCCATGGCCTGTGCGTCTTCCCGGCCCATGGTGTTGGTATCGAGATTTGTCCGGTGTCTTGTGAGCCACCCCCGAAAGACCTTCAGCAGCACCTTCTCTTGATGAATGGCCCTGTTGCAGTAAGCCTCTGGGTATGACCACGTTGCCCATTCGAACTTCGGCGCCGACTTCCAGGATCCAACTTCCGGCTGGCATTGAAAGCAAATTAGAGTTGAAACGAGAGATGGATCAGGACGTACCAAGTTCGGGATTGCAGCAACCATCTGTTTGAAAGTTGGATGTCTGCTTAGCTCGAGCAGAAACGCCTGTCGCGCCTCGAAAGTCGCTCCCACCTCTGCCGGGCTCCAATTATCCGGTGTTCTGGGCCTGCGTTGATTCGAGCGGTTGGATGTTCCCGCGACAGACCTCTGTTCCTGTCCTGTTTTATGAAGTCAGAACGGCCAGGCAAAGCTACACTGGAGACGAGATACGTACGATTGCTCCGGCCTACAGCCCTAGATTGACCGTCTGAGGTGCCAGTCATCGCGCTACCAGTCTCCTTGCGGCGCACGATACCAGCCGGACCCGGCTTCTCCCTGGTGGCGTAGGTACGAGGAGGAGGTGCGTCGGCGGCCTTCCCTTTTCCGCGCTTCTTCGCCGAAGTTCGACCAGAGGACGACTGGGCATCCTCGTCGTCATCTTCCTCTTCCTCAGCCCTGCCCTTCCCCTTCTTCCGCGCGTTGATGCGCCGACTGGAAGCCGGAGGATCCTGCTCCCCATCATCCTCTTCCTCGTCCTTGTGCTTGCCCTTCTTCTTAGCAGGAATCCGACGGCGGGGCGATGAATCATTCTCCTCCTCATCATCGTCGTCCTCGGCCTTACCCTTACCCTTTTCTCGGGCAGGAATCAGAGAACGGGACGACGGACGATCCTCATCTTCATCATGATCATCCCCGTCCTCAGGCCCAGTCGTGTCTCCATTGTCATCGTCGTCGGCGTCGTCATCATTTAACTTGCTGGTATCACTGCTCGATTCGGACCCATTGCTGGTGCGTGATTCACTGCTACTCGAACTGCTGGACCGGTCCTGTTCTCGGAGTCGAGTCATTTGGACAGCGTGCCGGGGCTCGGAAGATTCACTCCCAGAGGTTGACGATTCCAACCGCCGCCCGGATGGACCCGTTTTGGACTGGCGCTGCTGTCTCGGGACTCGGGAAGGGCCGGCGACAGGTGGGCTGGGCTGTGCTCGTTCCCGGCGCCGCTGAGGCCGTGGCGGACTTGGCGGCGGAGGAGGGAGGATGATGCGTTCCTGAGCGATGCCCTCGCCGTTTCGGTACGCCCTAAAGCGAAACACCGGAAATTCGTCCTGCTGCCGCGTGCGCCAATGACGGATGAGGGCCCCAATCTCGTCCTGCCGTAGCTTCTCGGGATCACGAAGGATGATGTCTTCGGGGAGATATACTGGGTCGATGTAGTCGTTGGAGTTGGTAGCGAGCGCAAGCCACGGAACCCTGGCCGAGCGGCCAACATATCGTTCTGAAACGCCGTTTGTGAGTGATTTATAATGTCCTGGGATAACGGTGGGCCTACCATAGGTAACCCGCACAAACTGCTTGATAAACCGTCGCCGTTGACCCAATTTTGCAAAGCACGGGTCCCCGGGATCTGGCAGCAGCGGATAATTCTCGTCATCAAAGGCCAGTTCCGGCTCGCCCGGCACCGCCTCTTCCTCTGAGGCTGCCTCGTCTGCTTCGAGCGGTTTAGTGTCTGATCCATAAGCATTTAGCATCGGAACACATCAATACAGCCGGAACGTATTCACCAAACGCATACTCGGCATACTCCACAAAGAAGTCGTAGGTGTGACCTTCCTTGAACTTTGGATGACGGTCCACAAAGCGCATGCACGGTTCGCCTGTTCGAGCCTCCGCACCAAACTTGTCGTTGTGATCAAAGCTGTAATTTGTTAGTACACGGTGATGCTCCAATTTCAGCCCGACGCACCATGTCACGGTCGGCTTTTCAGATCCCATGAACGCGGCGAATACGAATAGTCTCACCCCGGTGAGCTTCCATATCTGCCTCTCAAAGTCTTCCATCCACCCGTCGAGTTTGTTGGCAATGTTCTTCAGCTGTACGTCCCGGGGACTGCCCTTCTTGTTCCACTTCTCCGCAATTTGCTCGTACCGAGCACGGTCCTCCTCCAAAACATCTCGGGACAGCGCCGAAAGTGCTTTCTGGTAAATGGCAGGATACTGCTTACGTTCACGTTCCATTCCATCCCCAATCTCAGAAATCCGTGCCTCCAGAGCCTCCTTCTCCTCCCGAGCCAGCACCATCTGCCACGTCACCCTCTTACCAACCTTAAACATTGGCTTCTTGCGTTTCTCGCCATCCGGACGTCGCTCGTAAAACCACTTCCGGACTCGCTGGCCCTGCATTATCAGCAAAAATGTAATCGAGGAACATCACTCGCACCTCTTTCCATGCTTCGTCAAAGACTATCCCTTTTTCCCGTTCCAGCTCTCTCACCGCAGCTGCCACCTCTTCATCCCTTGTCTCCTGGTCATCCACAGCATCCCTCCAGGCCTCCAAGTGGGACCTAAGAATCCGGCTGTCCGCTTTCCTCCAGCGATCCTTCTTGGGACGTGCCATGGTCGATGGTGACCAATAAGAGCGTGCCGGCCGCCCAGAGATACAACAACAATGTGGGAGCTGAAGGCAAGGACGTGCCAACCAAGCTAGATTGCTGGCCAGCTGTCGCATTGGCATCTATTCACATTTCACTACATCACACCTTCTTTACCATCAGCGCAGTCACTTTTATCCTTCACAGAATTCTTCCGGTTTGATCAGGCGACGGGTGGCTTGTCTGGAATGGTACGGGTACGACGGATAATTCGGCTGCGTACCCCGGCAATCTAGCCTCATGTCATGATTGGCCTGAAACCTCAACAAGGTGTGCTTGCCTACGGCCCCCTTCATTATGGAGCCCGGTGCCAAGCACGGTATGAAACCGCATGAGATGGATCAGGGAACTCCGACACAAAGTGGCCTCCGGCTCGTGGTGATACCGGTGCAGTCGGATGGAGTTGCCCGGGCAGTTGTAGTGTGTACAGCTCGTCGACGACGGTGCAGCACAGTTACCTCCCGCTTCGAAAGCACACTCGACACAAAGCAAACATGGCGCGCATTAAACTGCACACAAGCTCTCCAAAAGTGGCCGAGGTTATCATCAAACGATCGGTCACGACGAGAGGGACAAGGGGCCGACTGGTGTCTGTGCATCGGGAGAGGTCTGATACACCTCCTAGCACGCCCAGACGCGCGCCGCAGCCGTCCTCCAAAACGACCCATCCCCCGAACCGTTCGGAGGATGCACCACCCGTGATTGACCTACTGTCAGTTGATGCCCTTGAATCACTTCAGATACCGGCGCCGAAGGTGTGTTTCGTGACGATCCTTGGGATATGACGGTTGACATCCACATAGACACAACCCGAAATGCTTCGTGAATGGCTACCATATCAGACCGAGTACCTGAGAAGCATTTACGCCTCCTCGGTGCCGCCAACCACGACCGCCGACGGCTCATACCAATGCATGGAGTGCCACGGCAGCGGAGGGCGTTGGAAGTGCACTGGTTGTCTTGGGTCACCGGTGTACTGCACATCGTGCTGCCTCGACAGACACAGCCGAGACCCTTTCCATCGTATTGAGGTGTGGGACACGAAGGGCTGCTGGACGAGTTCTTGGCTGCGAGACGTTGGCGTTTGCGTCGAGCTGGGACATCATGGTGGGTGGTGTCCGGTACCATCTGGGCGGCCGCCGGCGGATATCCACGACATTCTTGACGATGACGATGATGATGAGGAGGTAGATGACACAGAGGACACCTGGGAGGATGAGGAGCGAAATGGCGGGGCCGGCGACGATCCCCTTCGTGCTGCTGACAGTCCGCCAAAGCCTCCTCATGCCATGATGACAATTGTAGACACGTCCGGCGTTCACTTCCTACCTGTCAGGTGGTGCGGGTGCCCTTCTCGGCAGGGGTGGAAAGCGCAGCTACTAGCAGCGGGTCTCTTCCCTGCAAGTCAGCGTGCACCGAAGTCGTGTTTCACGTTCCGCGTACTGGACGACTACTTGATGACCAATGTCGAGTGCAATACAAACGCAATGAACTATTATCGACGGCTGCGTCGATTAACGAATCCGGCGTTTCCACATCTAGTGCCGGTGCGTACTCGCCGAGTGCGTTGTTGAAAGACCCCTTTGTATTCACGCGAACTGTTTAAGGACCGATATCTCGAGTTCATGCGTGTCACGCGTGAATGGGCGCTCCTCCAAGCAAAAAAGACATTTGGATTTGGCCCGGAAGGTCGCGGCACACCCGGTGACGGTGACCTCGGCTACTTCTGTGTTGCATGTCCACAGCCTGGGATAAATATCGATGGGCAGTGGCAAGAAGATCCAAAGACGTGTGTTTGGCATTGGCATACTGATAGCGCATGCACTGACAGCGATCAGATACTTATACGCTCGGAGCTATGTCATGGATGGTAACTTCTCAGCAGAGCAAATGAAAATGCGACGACCTGCAAATGACGTACCAATGATGCCGGGCAAGATGTTTCTGGTAAACGACGGGCCGTACCAAGAGCATCTCAAGGTGGCAAAGGATATCAAAATGGTGAGCAGGCAATCCATGACACATCGCAGCTTGGACCAAAAGCAATAAATCTGCTGTCAACAGCGGTCCACATGTAATGACCACAAGGCAGTCTCACAAGCAAACGCCGATCGACACAAGCTGGCGGTCACCGGTATTGGTGCAACTGCCTGCTCGCGCCACGGGTGTTTCGTACCCCATTCGGTTGTGAATTTCCAGAAAGGCGAACGGCAAATGAACATGGACTACTCATTGTCCAATGCGATGAAGTACAGGGCACACGAGAAACAGCCGGTGGTTGTGCTGTATGACATTATGTGTCAATACGGCGTTCACATTCGGAAGCGATTCACTGACAGCCTGCATATCTCAATGCCACACGACCTGACGCTGTGGAAAGGAATAGGCCTGTTCCATGTTCATGGTCACCAGGACACCTGCGAGGTCCGGTATTCGCCCACATTCATGGCTGGTGCTGGAAATGTTGACGGCGAGATTCTGGAGACGATGTGGGCGTCCCTGAATCGTATTTCAGGAACTACTCGATCAATGTCGTCATCCAATCGCCAGGAGACACTAGACCGGCACATGAATGACTGGAACTACAAGAAGATGATAACTATGGGTGAGCATCCCACGCTGTACAGATGTGTTACACTTTTGACTGTCTGTTGTAGTGGCCCTACTACGGAGGCGCATACAGGCAAATCGACCGCTGTTGCTGAAGATGCGAGAAGCTTTGGATGCCCAGGAATCAGGAATAAGCACTGATGTACTTGTACAATGGCGCCGGGTGCTTCGCGGGGCCCAGGAGCAGAGATTGCAAGATGTCCGGGCCATGGACATTTTCATGATTCCCGAGCAGACAGGTTAGCAGGTTATTTTGTAGTCCAGAGCCTGTAAGCTTATTTATGCGCAGCTCCGTCGAAGGCCAGTCTGCAGCTAAGGCTGACCACTGCGGAAGGAAATGATGGCACTCCAATTGGAACCGCAGATTGGCTCGCGGACGGCCTTAAAATTGAGGAAGCGCAGTACGTACAACGGCGTGATGGCCATGCCAGAAGGGACTGACTGTTTTATACAGGATTTTCTTGCGGCAGGATACCATGCGGCATGGAACAAATGCGACGAGCGCTACCAGGATTAAACTAGCAAAACGTCGTAAGGCCCTGGAAAAGAGCATCGCCCGTTTCAATTCCCGAGCCAACCGCATTGCGCGCGCATTCAACTGGGACGTTATTCGGCATGAGACACCGGAAGACGAATGGGAGGACGTAGATGCTGATGATGGGTCTTCGCGTGCAACACCAATAGGCGACCGACCGAATCCCCTTGCTGGTCGGAGGCTACGAGGACCATTTGCACCTGATGCGTCCGAGCACGTGGTCCTAAATCTGCCCTCGAATGCATCTCCAGAGATGATGACAAATGACCGAAGCCTGAGGCGGTTGGCCCGTCGCGAGCGAACTCTACGCCGGGGCCAAGCGAATGATGCTCTGCACCGACTGCGGGTATTGCTCAGCGAAAAGTCCTTTCATTTCCGCCACCGTATCCGTCCATCTCGTGGATCACAGCAGCGAAAGACACGGGCCTATGCCGGACTTGAGAAAATCACAAGGGAGATTCAACGGTATGGCGCGGTGTATCACAGTGCAAGGTCAGCATTGGTGCGGCTCAATATGAGCAGGGAAGCACGCAGGATATACAAACGTCTCAGACCCGCCGATCTCAAGGTCAGCACCGCAATTGCCGAACCAAATGCACGCGGCCAACGGCATGCCACCCTGCCGTGGATCTGGACAGTCAATGTTCAACAAGACATGGATGACGATGAGCACATGCTCTTCGGTGCGTCTGCCCATCGCTTGTGCAACATTGTGTCCTCAATCCCTCCAATAGTCCACCGGGTTCATTGGTTCCGAGCTCGGTCACGGCTTGACCGGGCAATGGAAGAGTCGGCGATTCTCAAGCGCGAGTTGCAATCAACAAAATTGTACTTCGATTACGAGCAGGATCGTTGGCTTGCCATGGCTACCACTGGTCCAGGCGAAGCATGGCCTGGATACGCTGAGCACTGTCGTCAAACTGCCAACACTTATGCGTCACTTGCTGCAGACGCACAGTCGTCCTATACAGAGCTCTATGTTGAGCAGAACCCCCTGGAGTGATTACTGCGTAGGAGGCTGTGACGAGTCAATTTGTATGCCCCTATACCTGTTTGTTTGAGGCGTAGACCAGCTTGAAGGGAATTTACTCTCAGCCAGAGGGCATGTAGTTGTGACACGTTTCCACAAAAAGTCTGGCTTGAAGGAAACGATGACCACACATGAAAGTTCGGCGCCGAGAACATTGCAACCCCCGGCGCCGCACCCAACCCAACCCTCGGCGCCGCACTCATTCGAATCCCCGGCGCCGCACCCAACCCAACCCTCGGCGCCGCACTCATTCGAATCCCCGGCGCCGCACCCAACCCAACCCTCGGCGCCGCACTCATTCGAATCCCCGGCGCCGCACCCAACTCAGCCTGCGGCGCCGCACTCATTCGAATCCCCGGCGCCGCACTCATTCGAATCCCCGGCGCCGCACTCAACTCAACCCGCGGCGCCGCACTCATTCGAATCCCCGGCGCCGCACCCAACTCAGCCTGCGGCGCCGCACTCATTCGAATCCCCGGCGCCGCACTCAACTCAACCCGCGGCGCCGCACTCATTCGAATCCCCGGCGCCGCACTCATTCGAACCCCCGGCGCCGCACCCAACCCAACCCTCGGCGCCGCACTCATTCGAATCCCCGGCGCCGAGGTTTCACGTGCGCTCAACGCCGCGTGTATATATCAGAGAAATAAGTACACCTTCGAACTTTGCATGTGCGTCTTCCAAAGCGCTTGACATCCGGACGTTGGTGGCTTTAGGAAGAGTCCTGGCACTGTGCATACATATGATACGCGGTGGCGATGTTTAGTTACATGAAGACAGGCACGTCATACATCCGGGACAATGAGCCTTATCAAGTTATCCGACTACCTCCGGTGCAGAGTCGGGCTACGTCGCCGGGGAAAAATGTTGTGATGCGATCCGCGGCGCGGAGTACACCATCCTACGCACCCAGCACCATGGTTGTGCCGTGCGGTGATCACACCACGAACAAGCCTTGACCCAAAGTTGTAAAAACGGATGAATCAATAGCTGTAGCGAGGACAGACCTTTAAAAACCTCCCTGTTCACTTGAATCCTTGGTGTCGCAAGCCTCACTCTCCTTGTTCGATTCCGGGGGCAACAAGACATCATCGCCACCCTCAAACTCGTACGGACTCTCATTCGGGTAGAGGATATCCGGGTCGATGATAAAGGAGTAGTGAGGCGGGGGAAGGCTCTTGAGCAAGCGGTATTCCTGGGTGTGTCTATCACTTTCGGAGCTGGACAATCTGGCCCATGGGATTGGGACCCGCAGGTTACAAGTGGTAGGTCCGCCTTCTATTTTCCATGTGATCCAGTGACGACGAAGGTCTGTCATGACCGTGAGTCGGCCAACCCCGGACTGACTGCCATCCGCTTTCAACGTGATAAGGTGTCCACTTCCAATGTGGACCGCAGGGCGTTCCATCACAGTCCAGATTGGCCCATTACCCAGGCTCTTCGCAGGACGCCCTCCGACAACAACTTCAGTGGTATTGGCCGGGTCCGGCGTGAGCTGAAGGAGTGGAAAGGCATGGGTGGGAGGGGCCAGGTTGAGGACCAGTTGGTGCCAAGGCTTGGGAGACCTCGCGCGATTGTACTGCCAGGCGCGGCGATCCTCCGGTGACATTATGCGGCGGGTGCACACCCGGTAATCAGCTTGGATCAATTTATACAGACATGAGGCAATTGGCGTACGTGAAAGGTGTCGTTTGTGTGTCTAATCTGATGGCTTCTGCTCGGCATGTAGGCCGTATTGTCGGTGTTGGGGAATATACCGTTGACACCATGTATGGCAATACAATGGCAATTTTCAAACGGACGCCGTAGTTACATAACAAATGTCTAGTCCCTCAAACCCCACTATACCGTATTCGCCAAACGCCCTTCCATACTCGCTTCAACTGCGTCAAACCTCGCCATGAGGTTCTCAAAGCGGTCAGCCATTGATAACATAGTTGTTTCCTCCCGTACGACTTCCGTGATTGTCAGGACCAGCTGGTCGGCGACATGGAAGCCCAGAGAGTACGAATCGGCATTATGAATTGAGACCACGATGGTGCTGTATGAATGACGGCGATTGGTCAGCACATGTGGGTTGCATTTAAAGCAAATTGTACCCACGACGATTCCCCTCGAAGGATCCCGATGAGTCCACTAAGTTGTGATAGTGTACGGCGTTTCCCACGCTGCATCACGTCACCGCTAATCAGAAGGAAATCAATGTGATCTACACATTGCAACTTACAAAAAACATGGTCTCCTCCAGTTCTTTTTCACCCGGGAGTGTAGCAGTTGAGGGGGGGTGAACAGGAATCTCCCGCACAATCGCGCCTCTCACCCGTCAAAATATACGTACTTTTGAGAAGGTTTGAACATGCGGTCTTGAGCGCTGAAGGAATATCTCACGCATGTCCACTGTTCGGCTCAGAGTGTTACATTAGGTGAAGCAATTCCTTGCACTACAGAAGTTGGACACGTTGTGTACCAATATTGCGTACAGATATCAGCTGTTTTGGAGGTTCGGTGGAGCATTTGACGAAGATGGTCCCTCGTGTCGCCGTCTGTCCTCCTCGGCGCCCCATATGTCGCGGAAGTGTACTGTATTTGTTACTACCGGATGTTGGGCAGCTGACCGATACCACGCGTCGACCTCCGTTGCATTCACCTCCAGTGCACCCTTCCAGAATGTGAGCTCCGCATCTAGATACTCGTCCATGGCCTCGAATGAGAGCAACAATCGGTTTAGAAGTAGGAGCATTGCGTGGTTGAGATGGGGCGGCATGGCGGAGGGATGAATGAATCGTGGTTCGGGGATTTGCGGTAATAGTCCCAGTTTGAGAGTTGCGGCTGCGTGAGGATTTTCCTGACACAATCATCGAATAAGAGAAATGGTTGATAGATACCACTAATTGTACGTACCCGGGCATGCGGCATTTGTAACTCCTCCTTCACACGCCGCAGCTGCAATTCGCCTTCCTTGATCTTCTCGGCAATTGCTTGATTCACAGCAACATTCCGGGCGGCCATGAGTCGAATGCTGTCTTCACTGTGGGACAACACCGATTGACTCTGTCTCACAGCTGTGGATTGCACTAATCCCAGTACCATTGAGTCAGTAAGAGGCCCGGAACCACGAGCCACATACCAGACGTCGATGGGCCACGATTGACATCCTGAGCTGAATGCCCATTGCGATCAAGAAGCTGTGTGAGGTCCGCGGCATTTGAATCTCGGAGGGAGAGGCTATGAACCCGCATTGACAGCCGCAGTACCGCATTGCGGGGATCGTTGCTGTTGTCCAGTAGAATACCCCAGAATTGAGGCATGGTGTTTGTCATCCCGTGTTCCATTATAACAGCAGGATCGCACAGCTGGCTAAATCCCAACATCATTGCATACATCGCCTGGATTGACGTAGGTGAACTGTGAACCTGAATGAACAACCGTATCGCGCACCATCGCTGTGACAAGCTTCTCGCCGCCAGCCTCCCTTGACTGTTCAACACCTAGTTCATGGATCGCCGCGTCAACCTCGGGTCGGAATATATGATTGTAGGCTTCGACAAAGACAGCAGAGGAGGGGGTGCTCATAATCGGTATGCTCTCGGGTTTCACTGGAAATAACTAAGAGCCAGCTCACTGTGGCTATTTACCAGAAAGTGGATCCTGAACGCATCTAAACTGTACCAGCCCATCTTGTCCATCAGCCTCAGTCACATGATTGCACGTGTGGGGTCCACGTGGTGACCATGAACCAATGCGCCCCTCCCACCATATGTGGCAACTCTCAGCGCACAATCCAGGCACGTACGCTGCCCTGAAGATCACTAGACACTAGGCACTGACAGGATGGGAGCTCTGGGTCCCGGGCACATATTGACAGTCGGCGCCGAAGATAGGTCAACCGTCGGCGCCGCAGACTACGTAAATCTCGGCGCCGAGCACATTCCAACTCTCGGCGCCGCAGACTGTGTAACCCTCGGCGCCGCAGACTGTGTAACCCTCGGCGCCGCACACTGACGAACGCGCGGCGCCGCAAAGTGGCCAACGCTCGGCGCCGCACACTGACGAACGCGCGGCGCCGCAAAGTGGCCAACGCTCGGCGCCGCACACTGACGAACGCGCGGCGCCGCAAAGTGGCCAACGCTCGGCGCCGCACACTGACCAACGCGCGGCGCCGCAAAGTGGCCAACCCTCGGCGCCGCACACTGACCAACCCTCGGCGCCGCACACTCTGTAATCCTCGGCGCCGCAGAGTGGCCAACCCTCGGCGGCGAGGGGTGGATTGTCTTCGGCGGCGAGCACATACCAACCGTCAGCACAGAAGAAAAATCAAGATTCGGTGCGAGGCACATAGCAACCCTCGGCGCGAAACACAAGTCAACACAGTGGGCACCAAGGAAGTACCTGACACCCGGTGCCTAATAGAACGTTAAGCGCTGTATTCCTGTCTATCTCAGGCCATTGAAAACTGAGCACGGTGACATTGTTATCGTGTTGGCTGTTACTATACATGCAATTGTGTACAACACTACGCGAAGCGGACATTACGGCTCTCTGTTGGCTGTCCGGCGGTATCCATGCCTGGGTCCAGCGCACCCGAGTGACCCGTTTGGCGACCATCACCACCCGCTACAGCCTGCTGCAATCCCATCTGCGCAACGTTCAGTGGGGGGTCTTCCGAACCATTCGGCGTGGCTGCGAGCGGTTTATTTGACTGCTCCGTCACAAGCTGCGCTGACGCTGCCTCACCGATATGCGTGGATGGGTTCATCCCGGACTCGACCGTCGCAGGTAAGCCTGTTGACAATTCCCCAGCGCTCTCAGATGATTTGCCCTGCATTGGTGGTGAGTATTTGTTGGTGAGTGGGTGGATGTGTGGCATACGTACCGCAGGGTCGAGTTGCTGTGCAGGCGTGACGGAGCCCTCGAACAGTTGAGGAGGCTCTGACGTTGGCACATCAGCATGGCCGGGAGGAGAGGGAGACCGTCTATTGACGTCTCTCCCTCCGGGCGTCGGCTCAAGGACCGGCCCAGCCTGTTGCTCGTTGTGACGTTCGGACGGACTCTGTCCCCTGGAGTTCACCTGGGCGTGCTCCGAGGGCGTGGGCGCTGCGGCGGGGACCTGCGAATGCTGGCTATCTTCCTGTGCATCCTTCATCTCGACGTCCTGGCGGACAGTGTCTGTCTCCACAGACGCGGATGAGCCATTGCCTGTGGACTTCACCTGTGCCGGCTCCTGCTCCGGGTGCACCGGGACCTCCTGCGAGTCCGGTATGATATCCTGCTCCGCACCCGCCATCACAATGTCCGTGTCCGGCTCTCCAACAGCATCCGTGTTCGATGGTTCCGCGACAGGTGGCGCACCATCGTTTCCGGACGCTGCATGAGTAGCCGGAGTCGTGGCAGGGTGATCACGCTCGTTGCGCGTCGAAGCACCCTCAGCGTTCGGCCCGACATTTGTGGGGTCGTCGGTCAGTGGCTCAGTGCTTTGATTGCCTGGCTGCATGATGAGGCCAGAGCGCGGCTGCAATGAAAATACCTTGTTAACATCACGCGACAATTTCGCTTGCAGGTCGACTCACTGGTGAGGGCCCACGACCGGGACGTCCTGACGCGGGGAGCTGCGGCGCGGGCAGGCCAGATGGTCCTGCCTCAGGTTGACCATCCGAAGCTCTGGGAGCCTCGGCTGGACGTCGGCGGTATTGAACCGGTGGAAGATGAAAGCCTGTTCAGGGTTAGAACCGAAGTAAATGCAGAGCGGTTTGCTACGCACCATTGATCGTCAGGAAAGACGTTAACGACTCCACGATGTCCTCCAAGGTCTCGACCCTCTCGTGCAGCCTGAGGCTCCGGTGCTCTGCTGCACCAAGACGCTGCGCCAGTGCCCCGTTGCGACGTTGGAGTTCCGACACCTGTCCTGCAAGCTCCCCGGGGTTGGCCAGTGCGACTGGGTTCGCGAGTCCTGCTTGCCCGGGCACAATGGGGTAGAAGCGACCTACACCTGGTGTCAGTACAAAAGACCACGTGAAAGATACCAGTGCACTAACTGATATCGGGAGCAAGGGCCTGCGTCTGGACGTTCGGCGTTGCACTGCTCGGCTGCGACTGCACCGCATCCTCGGGAGCAGCCCCCGGGGTTTTGGACTTTGCTCGGTGTCGCTTTGCCGGAGGCGACGGTGCACGAGAGGCTGACTTTGAGCGTGCTCGCTTTGAGGGAGGTGCCGGTCCGCGAGACCTTGACCGCGCGCGCGACGGCTCCGGCTGCTTCGTGATTGTCTCCGGGCCTCGGCTTGGGGTGCGGCGCGCGCGGCTGCTTTTGCGAGTACCGGACGGGCCCGCGGCTCCGCCCTCGTTGCGTTCGCGTCGTTCTCCGGGCGGCGACCTGCCCCGGCGCCGTCCACGTTGTTCCTCTTCGTCCGCCTCCTCGTCGTCCTCGTCTTCATCGTCCGCCGCGAGACCTGGCGCGCCCGGGTCAATGGGCACGCATTTGCGCTTCTTGAAGAAGCACCAGTCGCAGGCGGGCCGCTTGACCTTGCCCCTTCCCTTGCCCTTGGCGGGCTTCTTCGTGACTGTGGAAATGGTGCAGCGGACGTTGCCTTTGCACGCTGTGCACGGCCACTCCTGCAAGCAAAATCAGGCGAGCTGCCTACTGTGTGTATTGAGGACTTACGCTCGGTCTCGTGCGCTCCGGTCTGCGGGATGCGCGGGTTGTTGGCATCACCCAGCCCTCCCGTGCAGGCTTCGCCTTCGTCTTCTTCGGCATGGGCTTCTGCTTGTTCTTCAGAATGCCCTTCGATTTTCCTAAGCAAGCATTGTCAGACGCTCCATACGTGCTAAATGATCAAAGTTTCTTACCTTCCTCCTGCTCCTCCTCCTCCTCCTCCTCCTCCTCCTCCTCGTTGTCCACATCCTGGCCACCTTCCTGAATCGCCGCAGGGTTCCCTCCACTCGGACCTTCATCTTCGTTGGCTGGTGGCGTTGGTGGGACCTCGCGCGCCTTACCCTTCCCCTTCTTCAGCTGCAGCGTCTTCCTCACCATCTCCTCGTCGTGGTCGTCATCCAGCTGATCCACCTCACCGCCATCCTCCTCGTTGGAGTCACCGTCGAGCTCCCTGAACCGCTTTCCAGGCGGCGCACCTTTCGGACCCTTGAGGCCAGTCTTCTTTTCCTGGGCAGCCCGGGTAGCCTCCTTCCGCGCTTTGCTCTCCTCGAGGATCTTCGCACCGCGCTCGGCTGTCGCTCTCTTCTCCGCTGCTTCCTGGTGCTCGCGCATCTGGAGGTGGAAGTGGTGCCGCGGGTGATTAGGGGGGAAAAGGAGCCAGTGGTGCGCAATGCGCTCGTCAATTTCAGAAACCCGGGAGAATTGGATCGGAATGCCGTGTTGGTTCGCGTGGGCTAGCTCAGTCAACGCTGACGCAAGGAACCGGGACACCGCAAAGTACCGGCCCTCCGTGAAGTGGTGGACGATGTTATGCCCAAACAAACCCTGTACAATATGAAGTAAAGATACCATGTTAAAAGCGGATCACTCACCACTTTGACTCTGAATTGGTCCTGGATACCATGGGTGTTAGCGGCGGACGCAATTGTACACTGAGTCACTCACCCGCGTTTTGTCGTCGAAGTTTTTATCCTGCTCATCTGTCACAGAAGGCCCTCCCATTAAGCCAACTATCTCCTGCTCGACTTTTGTGATGTACTCCGGCATATCCGTCCACTTGACCGGAACGAACTCGCGCGCGTCTTCGTCGTCTGAGCCGGCGTCTCCTCCTTGGCGGGTCTGCGAGCGTGACGTGGCAGCGGCGGAAGACATTTGAAGCAGGCCTGAGGTGAGGTGAGCTGGGCAGCAGAGGTTTGCGAGGAGACTTGTGGTGTTGGGAACCGAAGACGTTGATGTTGTGCGCGCCGCCCGTTACGCGACGCGACAGAGCATGTGACCCAACGGAGCGTGCGCGGGAGCCGAACCCCCGGCGATCATTGCTGGCGCTTGCGACGTCGCTATCGCCGCGGTTCTTCCTCGAACCTTAATCTCTAAAGTCTAACGTCATGACGTGTCAACGTAAGTGCAGTGTTCTACTACAGCTACCCGTCTGTGGATCTCATATGTTGCCATCCCTGTAGCTGACAATGTGGGGAGTTCGATTCCCGGCGGCGAACGTCCCTGTACAAGGGGTCACAAGTTCCGCCTACCCTCGGTCCCGCCGGGAACAGAAGCGCCGGCGAAGGTACCATTACACTTCTCTTACCATGTATAGACACTGACCGTTGTCGTGCAGTCATTGGCGCATCCAGACTCCGAGCAAGGCGTGGATGTAGCATCCCATTTAGATTTAATGGTGCGCATGTCCTCCGGTAACTTGTGACCAACCTGTTGACCTGTCCATTTGTCGGTGCGGTACATTTGAAGGCCCGGGAAGCGGTCAAGCCAAGGGGCCGCCCATCCGGTCATGTCCATTTCAGTCCGGACGCGGACACAGCTGGACGTAAAAATCCGGAGGATAGGGAAGGTAAACAGGCTGAGCTGTTGTCTAGTCAGGTATGTGACATGCATCGTGGAAACATGACTTACATATTAAATGCGGACCGATTGTTCAAGCATGACCTGGCCTCGGCTGCTCTGACTGAGCACAAAGTGACCAGTCGGAAATGGAACCCCCGTGAATTCACGATGCCATTGGTACATGCACCCGGGCAGCGACAGGTAAGCAGTTTGCCACCTGCCGAGGTATGCATTTCTTTTTAACATGGCCATAGACACATTGCATTACGAGGGATGGAACCGGACATGATCCGCCCCAGATTCCGGCCGAAGCCGAGCATCCCACCCCCCCTTCTTCGGCCTCACCCATTATTCCCGCGATATCCCAGCTTGTCAAGGTCCCGGCGGATCGGATCATATCTGCCGAAACCAGCACACCAGCTCCCAGTCCACCAAATACTAAGGCAATCGAAGAGGATGTCACCATGGGTTCCCCGAGCACAGGACCGGCCGACAACAACAGTTTCTCCTTGTCGGAAACACTCTGCACCGAAGCGGATCCATCCGGTGATTCTGACATCGAGGTCATCGAGTCCCCAATGAACAAGCTCGTTTATCGGAAGCCACGGCATCGGTCCCGGGCCCCCTCTCCGATCACTATATCGGACTCAGAGCCTGACAGGACAGCTTTCGGCGAGACTGGATTGCTGTTCGAACCATCCCCTGAAATAATATCCTACAGTAGCACCTCTGACGAAAGCACCGATCGCATTCCTCACTTCCCGGACAGTGTGCAACCTCCCCTTCAGCAGGTTATAGTCTCCGAGGGCCAGCAGAACTGGACCAGGTTGCCTTACCTGTTTCAGGAAGGTGAGCTGCCCGAGGACCTCATACCTGCGGGGGCCCCGCTGGCACCGGCGCCAGATGACTGGGAGCCATTGGTGGGGGGCGGTGGACTGGTCGCAAAAGTGAGTGACATGTGCTTTGATTCGGTGTCCTGAGCTCATATGTTCCAGCCTGAAGACATCACATTGTCACCGAATCACTCAAGCGCCATTCCTGAAGATGGGATCGCAGCAAATCACTTTCATATCTTACAGCACGGTAAGTTTGTGAAGCTATGTTACCGTCTCCACCCATGACCCAGGTCCTTGGTTCGCCGCCGAACACTCGCCAGCCCTCGGCGCCGAGGGGTGGCCACTCTGCGGCGCCGCGCGTTGGTCAGTGTGCGGCGCCGAGGGTTGGCCACTCTGCGGCGCCGCACGTTGGTCAGTGTGCGGCGCCGAGGGTTGGCCACTCTGCGGCGCCGAGGATTACAGAGTCTGCGGCGCCGAGGATTACACGTTCTGCGGCGCCGAGGGTTGTTCAGTCTGCGGCGCCGAGGGTTTGTCAGTGTGCGGCGCCGAGGGTTGGCCACTTTGCGGCGCCGCGCGTTGGTCAGTGTGCGGCGCCGAGGGTTGGCCACTCTGCGGCGCCGCGCGTTGGTCAGTGTGCGGCGCCGAGGGTTGGCCACTTTGCGGCGCCGCGCGTTGGTCAGTGTGCGGCGCCGAGCGTTGGCCACTTTGCGGCGCCGCGCGTTCGTCAGTGTGCGGCGCCGAGGGTTGGCCATTCTGCGGCGCCGAGGGTTGGCCAGTGCTTGGAGTCCAAACCTGAGTTCTGTGCAATGCTGTCGCGTGTAGCCTAGATCATGTTACAGTGGGCGCACCATGTTCATTTACATTTGGTCATCTCTGCAGATTTAGCAGACCGTGTTGTCTCGAGCATGGAGTCCGCACCGACGGGCAGGATGTACACATCTCCAGCTGAGGCCACCGCTCCCCTGGATCCCTTTCACAATCTCTGGACCAGGGACAGTGGGAAGCCTCTCCAATGGCCTCGCACCGGTATGCCATTTTTCTTTCTCTTGTGCTTGCGCCGACTCATGGCATTTCATTGTTATTACAGTAATCGGACCGTCTTACAGTGGCCAAGCTCCTACGGCTTTTTCGGATCTTCTTCATCAGCGGACGATACTGGAATCCCGGATCAAATCCTTGGAGCAGCTGCGACGTTCCAATGCCCTCAATGCAAGAACAGTAGGCTGGGTTCTGGCATATTACAATTGCGCTGAGTGGCCTCAGGCACCTCAGCAGTGATCAAAACTCCAGCATTTGATACATGTGATGCACATATATTACACTTGACTCTATATCTGTCCATGTAGCCTGTATTTAGATGTATTACATCCAGGCTATGTAGGGTCTAGGTGCTCTATTGGCAAAGTTGTGAGAACGGGATAAGTGAGACTGCTATAGAGTATAATGATCTCTTATGGGAAATATCTGCTGAAAATGAGGAGACCATGGAATGATATGGTACTCACAACTTATCTTCAATATCAGCCTGTGTTCATAGAATATGTGTGTCTATGCCAACAACTAGGGAGTGGAATTACATTGTTTGAACTGGTTAATGCCTTCAGATTGAAAGAACTATCATATGTATACATACATCATACAGTATACTGTATACCATATAGGTGGTATATTTATATTCTTAAATAGAATATTCTTAAATAGTTGCAGCCATAATAGTGATGGATATGATTGCGGTCATTTCAATTGGGTCCAAGTTTTCTGATGATGTTCATTGTGTATATTGTTGCACTCACGTTTGCCAATAATCCTTCACAATGTTTTGTGAAACATGACTGAGCTTACCGTGTGCTGATCCATATGTATTCAATGCTCATATCTTCATTGCCTGAGTATTGTTCCATCTGTGAATTTCCATGTTGATACTGGAGGTTTGGCTATGATAGCTTCTGAGCCTAGTCCTTGATATTGTCCCAAATACAGGATGATAACAGGTCTATCATGGTGCTGTCACACTAGTCGGCCGGTCTGTTGTTTGCGAGAACGGGCGGCCGCCCCGTTACATGCATGGCCGGCCGGCCGCTTGGCATTCAGCGCCATAACAAACCACTTGGTAAAGCCCGGCCGAGCAGTTCTCATTGGGTTCACTCACGTTTGGTCAGTCGGTAACTTATGGGAGGGTAACATGCCCGGCCGGTTGGTTACACACGGGGTGGCCGCTTCGGTGATTACGTGCCGGACTCACTTGCTCAACGGCACTTGGCACCATCAGCCGATGATAATTCGACGGTCATTTCAATGATCGGCCCTTGCTTGAATGACACATGGGTCTTCCGAGCGGCCGATGGTTATGCAACTATATATGGTGGTCAGTGGTCAAAGTGCTCTACATGTACAAGGCTTCCGCCCACCGGATGATTTAGGACCTTGATGCGTCTCGCCGGCCGACATGTTGTGTTAGTCAGGTTGCCATCACCGGCCGGAACGTGGTAAAAGTCGCAATCATTTATAGGGAAATGATAGTATGACATGCATGTTCCGAGGGCCCGGTGTGATTTGTATACACATGCGTCAGGACCGGCCGGTGCATTAGCAACGTTGGGACACTTCACCGGCCGGTGCATTGACAATATTGGGCCACATCACCGGCCCGTTGACGAACAAATATGGGGCGACACTGGCTGTGGTTATGTGTGGGTCTGCGACATTGTCGTCTCCGTCGGCCGGTGCATTTCCAATGAATCCGGCTAGACGTCGGCCGACAGGCTGATGCCGTCAAAACCCGTTACGCCGGCCGCCGTCGGGTTTCCGTTGACGACGGGGAATATGCAGCCCGGGTGTACCGTTAGGAACGGGTATGGTCCGCTCATGAATGTGTCATCCCGGCCTGAATAAGGCGGAATTGGTGAGGCCCGAAGAAGAATATTTGCGCTTCAACGGGGCCGTATATTTCGTAGCCGTCGAGGGCCACCGACGGCAACGACTCAGCTCCTTGCAGGAGGTCTCCGAGCCTTCTTTCCAACGTTGCCGTTGACCAAGGCAACGGTACGGCCGTCCTGCCGTGACGAGCGGTCCATGTGCCCCAATGGTGCGGGGGGTTGCGGATGGACGCCGCCCAGCGATCCCTTGTAACGGGCGTGGGCTCAGGGCGCGTGTTAGACCTCTTCTCATGCAAGACGATGAGGACATGAAACGCGCGGGGTGCAGCACCCCTGCCATATTGTGAGGCAAACTTACAAAAGGTGTCAATTTGAGTTGCAACAATACGGACGAGAAACGTACTCACCTTGCGCGTTGCGGATGGCACCGATTGAGACACCAAAGTCTCAATGGTTCCTACTGAAACCCGTTCGAAGCCCAGTCGGGCATCGACACTAATATCGGGCTGGATCCCCTCGAGCAGCCACTCCTGGTTTGTGTAAACCGACTCGAGCTGATCGAACGACCGACCCATACAGCCGATCATGCGGGATATCCATTCATGGACAGCGCTGGTCATCCCGGCGTGCAGATCACTGGTTGCCATTGAACTGATCTCGGTTGCGATGAAGGCTTGGACTTGGGGTTGGGGGCACGCATAGCGCCCATATGAACTGCTTCCGTGCGTCCGTACGTACATACCCTTGCTTCTGTTGCTTCCGTTTATCTCCGGCTTTGCGTGTTGTGCCCTAGAACATATTCATTGCGTCTTCGTTGCGTACATGGAAGGTAAACTATGACATTCATGCAAACAGGCTGTACCGCCAATGGCCATCCCCTCGAAGGCCCATCGAGCGCGTCTTAACGCTTGCGCGGCCTAAGCCCGCCGCCAGAGATATGCTGTCCGCAGCTGCAACCAACACCGAATTCTCGATACCTACAAACAAGTGAGCTACAAGGGCCTCGACCGTCCCCTTCTTCTCCTCCTTCGTACGCGGTACTTTGACGTTAAAGTCGAAGTCAAGAGGTACTCCGAGCATCGTCTTGGCGAAGTCGTACGTATAGAAGTGCCTGGTTGTGTTGATGTATGATACGTACTCCATGATAAGGCGTCGAGCACGGTGGTTGAACTGTTTCCAGGCATGCTCAGGAACTGAGCTAGCGACCCTGCAACTGTACCCGGTCAGCCACTTCCAAAGAAGATATCAGTTGGCACTCATGAACGTTCAAGAGGATTGGACGTACCATGAAGTTACTGCTGCGTTCCCAGTCCTCCAGCGTGACGGCTGACCCAGCACGGCCAACAAAGTCGTCAATCTCTCCTGAGGTGTAGAAGAGCACACGACACTCCATATTTGGGGATGGAATAGTCTTCGACGACGGATATTTCCAGTGCATGTGGTAGGTGACTGAGTTGAGGGCTTTAGACTTGAACAGTTTCGCGGGCTCAATATCGTGGCCGGCCTCCCTGACGAGTACGACGATGAACCCCAGAATGCGGCCCAACTTTCCAGACTTGACAATGAGCGCCATCTGCGCAATCATGTCAGAGAGTCATAGCTTCAAGTTGTAAGCGACATAACTCACCTTCTTTGTCTCATACATAAACTCTTCGGCCGTTTGAGCCACAATACAGAAGAAGGGGCAGGCCTCTGCATGGGTATTCTTCATGGCATCGATACGTACTGCGTTGTACATCAATCGGCACCAAACATCCGCAGTCTGGACGTGGTAGTTGCGGCGGCAGACCTGTAGTGCGGTTCTGCCCGGGGTAGGCTCGTACTCGTGCAGAGCCGTGGCGACGGTGTTGGCGATCATAAAGGCCTTATCTTCCGCGAAAAGAGGTGCGATTACAACAGCTTTACGTTCCCTGGGCCAGTAGTCCACCCTTCAGTGTATGAGCCACATTGACACTCATACAGTTCACTTGTTCTCTCACCTGATGCATCGGAGGAATGTCATCCAACGCTGGTGCTCCCGGCCTTCATCTCCCTCATCATCCCCTCTGTCCCCCTGACCACTGTCCCAGATCTTATCCAGCATCTTCAACAAGACATTGTACAGAGGTTCACCCATCGCTATGTCCTAAGAGTTCCGGTTAGTCAGTGATCCCGTGGTTTCTGGTTTTGGCTCACCTTCGTCACGAAGCCCTTGTACCCTACAGACTGCCACTCCAGCTGAAGTTGACGTATCTTGGTAAAGTATTCGGATACCCAATACATTTCTCCAGCATTGATGGGTACTAAAGACGCGAGGAGTTGTTTGAACTTAGTGGTAAGAAGCGGTTTGGGGATGCCTCTCGCGAACGTCCGGGCCTTGTCAGAGCTGGAAATTGAACCTTCGTAGCGGATGTCGGAGAGAGTCAAGGATTTGATATGATCCTGCTCAAAGGAGTTGTTGGGGGAGTAAAGTGTTACAGCAGACAGGTGGGAGTCACCCGGCATGCCGGGGTGAGCGTCGTAGTCGGATTGCGAACTCTGGACACTGGGCCCGGAACCAAGCTCGTCAGACCCGTAGGTTGACGAGTTGTCGGAGTCCGTGCTGTGGTCAATGCTAGAGTATGCCTGCATGGAGATAGTGGCGTCTTCAAGTTGGTCTGGGATCGCGGAGGGAATGGAGTCGCTGGGACAGCCCGCCGTGCAACCCATCCCGGGTGGCTGGGCACCTATATGGACGACCCATTCTTCGCCCTTTTGCCCGCTGGCGGGCGGGCAATCCAGATATGCATTCCAAAACTGGTGGGACCGTGTTGAGATGTGTTTTTCTAACACCTCAGATGGTACTCACGCAATGGGCGTGCGTCGCCGTCGCCAGGGGGTACTAACGACATTGTGCAAGAGCTTGCAAACTCCTTTTTAGGCAATTTGAACAAACCAGAGGCCATAGACATGCTTTCCGGGCCCCGCTGCAACGTGCAACCAGCTTGTATACCATGAAGACGTCTATATGATACATCGGAGAGGAGTAAATAAGGTGGACTGAGGGTAAGTCAACGTACAAAGGCGAATCGGGTGGTGGGCAAGGGCCTGAACGCGCCACCAGCGGCGGCGCTCAAGCCGTCAAATTTTGTTTGGAAGGCTGTACATCCCGTTTATTCCGTGTACAAGAGGAGGGGTACAGAGACAGAGCCTACGATTGAGCCAGAGGGTGTTGAGGCATGCCTGGTGTCGGGGATGCGGCGCACCGCCCCCGCGCGCAAGCCTTGGGCACTCCCCGGCCGGTGCTGCGTCATCCAACGCGTTCGGATAGCTTTGGAGTTCTGTTATCCTATTGGAACACATCTCATTAGCTTTGCCCATCGACGCAAATATGGCTCCCGGACAGAAGAAATACGCTCGGATTCCTTTTTTATTCCCTGGCGACGCGGAGGACCGGACATGTCCCGCCTGCGACCGCGAATTCAAGACCCCTGGCGGCCTCTCTTCGCACCTCTCCACTGCAAAGTCGTGCTTGTGGTACCGGAAAGGTAAAAACAGGGACCTTTGGGCCTCCGTCCCAGATGTTGTGGAGGATATCGCTCGGGAAAATGCAGTCCCTTCCGGTGCACGAGCCATGGACGTCGAGGACCGCGACTCCGACTCGGAGGACCTTCTTAACGACTTTCAAGATGTCTTGGAGAATAGGGACCTGTTTAGTTTTGTCTTAACAGGTCCCCCAACGGCGTCCTGCTCCTCTGGGGAACCTCAGGCCTCTTCCTCCACTGGTCGCATCTTCCAGCCGCCCACTGCACCGCCGCAGATGCTATCTCTGGACGACGATGAAGACACGCGGATCGAAGAAGAGGACCTTCTTGCCGGGAAGGTCATAAGGATGGACGCACGGGTTGTTGAAACGTGGAAAGTGTTCTTCTCTGGAGACTCAGACGGGGAGGACCGAATGGAAGTGGATGGGGAGGATGAGGCAGAGGGCCGAGGGGAGGACATTTGGAGACCTTTCGCATCGGAGCTGGACTGGAGGGTGGCCATGTGGATTGTGAGAGAGGACGTTGGACAGAATTCAATGAATAGATTTCTGTCCATCCCAGGAGTACGTATCTGTCTCATACTACTATTTAAGCCTGCTTGAATCTGATATGCAGCACGCAGGTTGTTGAGAAGCTTGGGCTTTCATACAAAGACATCCGCCAGCTTTACCTCAAAGTCAATGATATTCCGGAGCGAGCTTCTTGGAAAACCTCTTCATTAGCTTTCCCAGACCGTCCCGATGACGTCCACCTCGTGCGTTATCGGGACATTATAGAGGCTATCAAAGCCCTTCTGGGAAATCCAGCGTACGCTAAGGATATCGTTTACCGGCCGCGGCGCGCGTTCACGGACAGCACAAAGACTAAGAGAATCTTTACGGAGATGTGGACCGGAATATGGTGGAAGTCCGTACAGGTGAGTCCGCACCTTGTCTCGTCACAGATCCATTGCTGATAGGCTCTCAATCCCTATGCCTTTGTAGACTTTGCTACCGGAAGGAGCCGCGGTTGCACCTGTGATCATTTCCACGGACAAGACGCAACTAACCCAGTTCTCTGGCAATAAACAGGCATATCCGGTGTATCTTACACTAGGCAACATTCCGAGGGCTATTCGACGTAAACCATCCATGCACGCATGCATCCTTCTTGGTTATCTCCCAGTGTCTAAAGTCGATGGTGAAAAGATCACTAAACGCGAACGGAAGGCCCGTTCTCACCGCCTGTTCCATGAGGCCATGAGATTGATTCTCAAGCCCCTTCAGCATGCTGGAGTGAACGGTATCGAGGTCACCGGAGGCGATGGTTCCGTGCGACGCGTTCATCCTATTCTGGCGGCGTATGTTGCAGACTATCCCGAGCAATGTCTGGTGACTTGCTCGAAGTACGGAACGTGTCCCAAATGCAATTGTCCCAGCGACAAGCTGCAGGAGCCCGTCGCCGCTGAACCTCGAACATCCGAGGCCACAGAGAGCATCCTCAGGCAGGCAGCGGAACAAGCCGATCTCAGTGAAGCAGCTCGCGAGGCTTTTCGTAAAGCGCATAATGTTGTCGGTGGGGCGACCACGCCTTTCTGGGCCGATTTGCCCTACACCGATATTCACCTCTCTATCACTCCCGACGTTCTTCATCAGCTCTACCAGGGTGTCTTCAAGCACCTCGTTTCCTGGTGCCAAGAGCTACTTGGTGAAAAGGAGCTGGATAGGCGAATCAGGTCCATGCCTCCCGCGTTCGGCGTCCGGCACTTCAAGAACGGCGTATCGAACCTTGCGCAGATCACCGGGTCCGAGCGTAAAGGCATGGCTCGTATCCTCCTTGCATGTCTTGTTGGCAAGGTACCAAAGCGCGTGGTGCTCTGCTTCCGATCTCTCCTGGACTTCATATACCTTGCCCAGTACCCTACCCACGACGACGACACCCTCAAATATCTAGCCGATGCTTTGAAGACGTTTCACGAACACAAGGACGTCTTGGTGAAACTCGGCATACGCGACCACCTCAACATACCAAAGTTTCATTCTCTCCTGCACTACGTGGAATCCATTCGCCTCTTTGGAACCACCGACAACTACAACACGGAGATGTTCGAAAGACTTCATATCGACCTCGCTAAAGATGCCTGGCGCGCCACGAATCATCGCGACGAGTTTCCGCAGATGATGCGTTGGGTTACGCGTCAGGAGAAGATGATGTTGTACGAGGTGTTCCAGAAGGAACGTCAGGTTGAGGAGGAGCTGGAGGAGGAGGAGGATGTGGAGGTTGACACGGCGGATGCAGACTCGGAGGAGGCGAGCGCGGAGAACCCATGTCCGGGTGGAATTTCGCCCGCCGCGGACGCAGGTACCTCTGTCAAGATAGCAAAATACGCACCCAGCCCTCACCAGCATGTCGGTCGAATTCAGGACAAACACGGTGCCCCTGGATTCACCGCTGCGTTGGTCCAGTTTATCAACGACATCCAGCCTCCGGAACTACGTCTCGGTCGAGCGGATCTGGCGCAAACGTTCCTCCCTTTTGAAAGGGTCGACGTTTACCACCAATTCAAATTCAAACCAATCGAGCTTTCAGATGGAAGAGAAGAGCTGGACGCCGTAAAGGCAATCCCAGCACGTCCCACAAAGCATCAGAAGGCTCGTTTCGACACGGTTATTGTTCTTGACAAGGGCGACGCGGAGTCCACCGGCGTGATAGGTGAGTGATGGATTTGTATTCGATTGGACAAGCCATTGAACCTACGGCATAGGTACCAGGGCTGCAAGGGTCAAGATCATTTTTGCCCTCCCAAAGACTCTGTCCGAGCGATTTAGGGGCCAAACTGCCCCGTCGTGGTGGCCCAGCGGTCCTCTCGCGTACGTCGAGTGGTACTCGCGTTTTGCATCAAGCCCCGATCCTACACATTTGATGTATACCGTCAGTAAACCCCCTTTGACGTCGAAGGGACTTCCGCAAGGAAAAATCATACCGTTAACTCAAATACGTCAATCGTGCCAACTTGCGCCGTGCTTCCCGGATGGACCATCGGGCACTGTACCGGATGACTGGTCCTCCAATACGGTGTTAGAGACAGCCAGTCGATTCCATGTAAATAATTGGACTGGCTTATATGCATACCAAACACTTTGGTAGAGTACTGTATATCTTCGTGTTTGCGCGCTCCGCCCAAATCGTAGGTTCCGGACCAACTCGGCGCTTGGGGTGGGAGAGTGATCAAACACATCCAAACGGCTCCTAACAGCCTGCATCCGCGTCCCTCAACTCTCCACGCGTCCCTCAACCCTCCACAACACACATCTGCTCTCCGCTGCTGCCTCAATGTCTGCCGTAGACAAGCGTCTCATCGATATCTTGGCGGTGGTCAGCTCAGCCCGCTACGAGGACATTGCGAAGCTGTCCGGGATATGCAAGCTGTGCGGCGAGCTCCGCCATGTCGCCGTCGTTTGCTTCGAGCGAGGCCGTTATGGAGAGATCTTTGAATATGTGAGTTGCTCCCTCCGTCAAGGATTGTTTGATTGCTCAGATCGTGTGAAGTGCCTAGCTTATGATTTGACTGGCTGCCCGGTGCAGCGCAGTCGAATCCAACCCACGATGGAGACCCTCGGGGAGGCGCGTGCGCAGGCGGCGAAGCTCCGCAACCCACCCGCGAAGTTTGGCGGGTGGATCTGCATGTCCACCGTGCCGGCCTTTTACAAGAGCCCGCCGCCGTCTCTGAAAACCCTCCTCAATAGGTCCCTGGAGGATAGCCCGGCTGCGCAAGGACGCACCGCGATTGTAGAAGGCTTGGTGTACGTACAGGTGAGTACTGTATCACTTTCAATGCTCATCTGGGTGACTAATGCCGTTTTCTGGCCCTAGGACGGCTACGGCCCCGTGTCGATCCCCCTCCTGGGGGAGATCGATCCCAATGGCGAGGCCATTGTCATCAACGGCCACGGGGCGGAGCAGCCGCTCCTCCACCAGGCCGTGCGCACGCTCAACAGGTACATCGGAGCCGTTGGGTACGCTCCATCACCCGAAAATCCTCACTTTACCCTCGACGTCTACGATCCTACGGCCGAAACGTTCGTACCGCGCTCTCTCCGCCCCGTGTTCCCTCTTCGCCTCGCGCTGCCTCTGCAGTCCGTGCCCGTCATCAAGCGGTCCGTGGTGACCCTAACCTCCTTCGCGCATGCCTACGCCACGGGCCAGAGAGCTTTCGCAGCGCCCATGTGTTCGATGAAGTTCGACTTCATCGACGCATCCTGGACTTGGCCAGTGGGGTTGCGAGCCCAACGCCAAGTCATGCAAGCAAGCTGGAGGGTCAGAAACCTCGGGGCGCCCCTTGGTACGTGCGCTGTCCGACCGCTTCTGCATGAGCCGGGAGCCATCGTTGTACCTGCGGTGCCGGAGGACCTTCGAGTGTTGGGTCGCGGGCACAAGGAGCGGGATCTTGATAGCGATATGGACTCGGATGCGGCGGGCGTGGACACTGACGGTGATGACGAGGCTGAGGCCGACTTGGACTTTTAGCACCAGAACCTCAAATGTATAATACGTTGTAACGTTCAAGTTGTATCTAGCCCCCAAACGCACTCTCTCTAGCTTGCCTTATTATATGCAACAATAACATGTAGTAGGTAGTAAGTACCCAACGCTCGTGTCATGGACAATGATGAACTGCCAGTGACTTGCTCATGACCATCCAAGTGTGCATTCACGGTACTATACCCGACGAGTCGGAGATTTCCAAATGCAGCATCATGCACCATGCATATGTGCGTACTAGCGGAGGGACATACGCACCACAGCATATAGGCCTGACTAAGGATTCTGAGCTACAACGGCAGCTACATAGCCAAGAGCAAGCTTGCACTCTCTAGGGAGCAGTAGTGCCTCTTGCAAGAGTTATGGCAATGCACAAGCCATTCCAACGTGTTTGAAGATAAGTAGATTGAATCCAATTGGTTAGGTTAACTTGTGTACATTGCAATTAGGTCTCAACATATTGAACATGATTAAATAGTGTTGGTATGACCGCCAACCTGTCAGCGCTCCCGAGCGTTTTTCCTGATGGAAGCATTAAGGACCGGACGGCTAAGGGGTCAAGTCAGTGGCCAGAACACGGAGGGGTGTGATCGTGAAACAAGGGGGAACTCACGGGTGTGGCGGATACTGCACCTCGTCTTCTTCTTCGCGCAGTACACGCACGCGTGGTCGGGGTTGCCATCGACTCGGCAGAGCCCACGAGGAGACAGTGCGGCGCATCTCTCGCACGGCGTCTGTGGTGCATACACGAACAATCCGTACCGGGAGCGGGAGGCTTCGGAGGCACCGGAGGGGAGTGGTGGCGCAGGATCGGTGTAAACTGTCGACGCTGTGGGAACGGTGGCGGCGGGCACGGTCGGACGCGGAGGCACGGAGGGGCACGAGGGCCTAGGGGCCACGGAGGGAACCAGAGAGGTACTCGCAAGCGAGGGGCCGGACGGTGCTACCGGGCGAGATGGGCCAGAACGGGCGCGAGGCGGCACGAAGATACGGTTTCCGTTCGCGTCGGTCGTGGCGGGAGGACCAGAGGTTGGGCCGATCGCGCGGGGTTGACGAGGAGGAGAAAGGGGCGGATCATCAGGTCCGGAGGAGTCCTCGACGGTGGGAGAGCGGCCTCCGACGGATGGGGAGTTGGCCAGGGAGGGGGAAGAAGGGGCGTAGAACTGAGCTAGCTCGTCGTCGGAGAGTCCCCTCATTGGGCTGGCGATCCCAGAGGAATGATCGGAGGGAGTCGGGGAGTTGTACTGAAGGCGGGACCGAGGAGGCGTGACGGACGAAGCAGCGGCGGGCGGAGCAGGAGGGGCGAAGGCAAGGGGGTCTATCGTACCATCAGGACAAAAAGGAGCGTACGAAGATGGGGGGGCGACCAGGGGAAAAGGAATGTGCGCGTTTGGAGGGACAGCCCGGAAGAAGGCGCGGGAAGGCGGACATGCTAAGGGAGAAGGGGGCCTGTCGTCTGGGGGCTGGCGACCAGAGAGAAGGGGCGTAAATGGGAGATAAGGGAAGGGGGGACGGAGGGGGACGGCGAGAGGGATACACGAGGACCCCCAGAGGATGAAACATCCAGTTTCATGTACCTCGGGGTACACCCAGAAGTCAGCGATGAGGCGTCATATCTCGAGTTGCACCAGCTCGGGGGCAAGGTGTTGGCACTTACCGACGTTGAACACGTTGCGACGGGTGCGGGCGATCACCTCTTCGTGCTGAGGAGGGAGCGGCGTCGGAGGGTACCCAAACTGCATCGCAATGAGGAGGTTCGCGACGAAGGTGTTCTGGGCAAGGAGGGTAGAGTCAAGGCACGGAACAAACCGCGGAGGGGCGAGAGGCCGGGACGTACCAAGTGGAACACGGCGGTCCGAGCCCAGGCCATCCAACGTGCGAGCACTGCGAGGTCAGGAAGCCAAAGGGAAGGGACGCCGCCGGGGGGAATCACAATGAACACTTTGTTTGCGACGTCTTCGCTGAATGACCCGTGGAGCCGTGATAGCACTTGCGAGACGTCCAGAGCAGTCTGAACGTCTAGTTTGCGCTCGAAATTGAACGTGGCCTGAGACATGGCGAAGAGTCGGAGGAGGGGGGAGCGGACACAAGGAGGGATCGAGTGCAGCGAGTGGAAAGAGGCCGGAGGGTGAGAGGGCACGAGGATCGCACAGGCGCCGGCTGTGAATAGCAGCGGAAGGCGGAGGAAGGAAGCTCGACTGGGAAGGTGACCATCCGGACCGATCAGCCATCGGGATGCCGCACAATAGCCCCGGAGGGAACAACTGACCGGGGACGGTCAGTATTTTTTGGGTTGGGGTAGGGGCCTAGGCCCAGAACTGAGTGATCAGGCAATGGCGTCACAATGGGGTCGTCTCATGGCAAGCGATACGAGCACGACGCACGCAGAAGGAGAGTAGGCAATGCGTTAACTCGAATATTCTAATACAGAGCGAGAGGCACACGCGTCGGATCGTACAAGCAACACAACGAGACCAGGCACTTACGGCGAGCTCGCCTCCCAGGAGCGTACCTGACCCACCAAGTCAGCAACTTCCTCCTCATCGTTGTCCAGCTCGTCGCGCTCGTCCTCGCTCTCGTCCTCGCTCTCGACTTCATTTTCGTCGCCCACAGACAGAGTTGCGGAGGGTGACATGGGCGGGCAAGAATGTTGAAGAAAGAGGTTTTTAGGCTTAGTAAGCCCAGTGGCAGTGAAGGACTAATGAGTGAGTGAACAGACCAGTCCCAAAGGGAAGATCCTATGCTGGCAGGCAGAGGAGAGGACGAAGGATCGTTATCATTACAGGGCAAACCAGCCCAGTATATATACACATTTGATACAGGTCACATGCTGTATCAGTGGTTCATCAGTAAGCACTAAGTCCGAGGTTTGGGGATATGAGTAAGCTGGTAAGCAGCATGAGTAAGCCAAAACTCGGAGTTTGATGTGGAGAGATATATGAAACGTGATGGAACATCAGGAATAATATGAGACATGATGGAACATCAAAGAGTAATATAAGACGTGATGGGACATCAAGGAATGTCGTGGAATATCATGGAATGATCCAGACTAAGGTCACATGATGTGATCTAGGCAAAGTCCATCAAAGAACATATGTAATCTGACATCGCAGAATATAAGTCCATATCTGTACATAACTGATAAGATAAGAACACTGAAAACTCGGAAGTTCAACACTCCCACTTGTTCAAGATGTCGAGTATCTCATCATGCCAACCGAAGACCTGAATTTCTCGATTCCGCTGAAGGGAACATTCTTGGTCAAGGCATCAGCAAGTTGGTCTTCACTTGCGACAAAATAGATGTCCATCTCCCCACGTTCGTAGAACTCTCGAACGTAGTGATACCGGATTTCTATGTGCTTGGTGCGGCGATCCACGGCAGGGTTCACCGCAAGGAAAATGTTGCCTTGGTTGTCAAGACAAAGTGGAGTTGGATGAGACATGTTGTCTCCCAGTTCTTCTCCAAAATGACGCAGCCAAGCCATCTGACGACAGCAGTCGGAGCTGGCCTTATACTCTGCTTCAGTTGAAGACAAAGATACCGTTGGTTGGCGTCTTGACACCCAAGAAACGACACAATTGGCCATGAGGAAAACAAAGCCAGATGTAGAGTGCCTATCATCACGGTCTTCAGCCCAGTCTGAGTCTGAGTAGGCGATCAGACCAGAGTTTGAGCCTCCATCGTAGCAAAGTGCAAGTTCCTTTGTCCCTTGAAGATATCTCAGGACATAGTACGCAAACTTCATATGCTCTTTAGACGGATTTGAAGAAAACTTCGCCAGACGCGTGACCGCGAACGAGATGTCTGGGCGAGTACCAAGCATAGCATACATGATGCTGCCAATGATGCTCTGGTAACGGGTTCGGAAAATTTCAGATGCAGTGTCGGTGTTCTTCTCTAATACTGCTCCAGCGGGAAGAGGCGTCCTTGCAGACTTGCAGTTGGACATTTGGAACCTCTCCAAAACAGACTGAATATAGTCTTCCCGGTCAACGAAGATACGACGTGCAAGACGTTCTCGACGAATGTGTAGACCAAGGAAACGCTGGACAGCTCCCAGATCAGTCATCTGGTATTCCAAAGACAGTCTCTGCTTGATGTTGTCGATGAACAATTTCGAGTCGCCCATGAGGAGCAAGTCGTCGACATACAAAATGATTAAGCAGGTGTGTCCTTCAGATTCACGAGAGAAGACATAAATTCCGGCATCCGAATACGTCCGTTTAAACCCTAAGTCAAGGAGAGACTTGTCGATCTTAGCGTTCCATTGACGAGACGCTTGCTTCAAGCCATAAATGGCCTTCTTGAGCAGACAGACCCAGTTCTCCTTCCCAGGTACAGCCCATCCTTTGGGCTGTTCCATGTAGATTTCCTCGTCAAGGTCACCGTTAAGGAATGCCGTCTTGACATCCATAGACTCAATCTCCCAATCTTCAAGTGCTGCATGCGCCAACAGATAGCGTACGGATTCAAACCGTGCAACAGGAGAAAAAGTCTCGGTATAGTCTTGACCCCATACTTGGGTAAATCCCTTTGCAACAACACGCGCTTTGTAGCGACCATCGTGTTTAATCGCATAAACCCACCGGCACTTGATAACCTTTCGGTTTTTAGGCCGTGGAACTAGAACCCAAGTCTTGTTGTCCATAAGTGACTCGTATTCAGAACCTTCAGATGCGTGCCATTTAGCCTTGTCTTGGGACTCCATAGCTTCCCTGTGACTCTGGGGAACGCCATGGTTTGCTTCTGCTAGCATCCGCACAAACATGAGAGTTTCAGCCTCAGATTGTTGACGGCCTTGAGTATCGGTACGACGATCAATATTCGCAGGTGGCTCGTCACCATAGGCATTGTCTGTTGAACTAGGAAGGCGCCTACTGGGCTGCCGGGTTCAATCACAGGCCGGACCGGTTCTATGGGAAGCTCCGGGTCCGTGATGTCATCTATGATGTCATTTGTGTGTTATCACATGGCTACGCCACTTACCTTGTATGTCGTGGGAACGTACTATACAGTAGCTTAGATAAGCGGTCTCCTCATGTATATAAGGACCCCAGTAGCGTAGCTCAATCCCCAGTACCTTCAGTCGAAGTACTTGCGTGTGCATCAAGGATCAGCAACCTTGCAGGTAAGTTGTGAGGGCGCACCACTGCGTGGAGCTGCCTGCTCAACAGGTTATGAGCCCTGGTCACTGCCTGAGTACTGCGCCTCACTGGCTGCGTCTCAGTGTGCGCACCAGCTTACCTGTGGCTTCGCCTTAGTGGCTTGAAGCCAGGGGGGGACTATGCGCGTACATTGCTGCAGGTCTTAGCGCAACTCTGTTGCTGCTACCCCCAGCACATGCACCATAGCGGTGGTTGCGCCTCTAAGGCTGCACTCGTCATTGAGTAGAGGGCTGACGACATTGTTGTCAGTATTCCCCATTTACCGAGTTTATCACTTCAAACCCTCTACCAATGGCTTCCAACACCCTCTTCACCGCTGTCCCCATCCTCGATGGCTCCAACTACCGCGCCTGGGCTGAATCCATGTCGGCCTTCCTCATGGCGCAGGAGGTCTGGATCATTGTCAATTCGACCTGGCCCCAGCCTACTCTGGACACAGAGAATCCCTCAGTCTACTACGAGTGGCTGCAGCGCGATCAGAAGGCACAGGGGTCGATCCGTCTTCGCCTGACGTCGTCCGTCAAGGCGGCTGTCAAGAACAAGACGACCAGCAAGGCCCTCTGGGACGAGCTGAAGGCGCTCTATGACAAGCAGACCCCCGCCGGTGTTTACAAGGAGTTTAGGACAGCGATCAATGCTCGGATCCCTCCGAACGAGCACCCGAACCCGACGTTCGCTAACATCGCAGCTGCGTTTGACAAGCTTGCGGGCGAAGGGATCGACATCCCCGCTCCACTGCGGGCGATGATAGCGCTCAATGCGCTGCCCTCCCGGTACGACACCGTCGTCACCACGATCCTCCAAGCCAAAGAGCTTACGGAGATGAAGATTGACTACGTCCGGGAGTCTGTCGTCATTGCCTACGAGCAAGGCGGCAAGCAGGCGTCATCTTCGCAGAGCGCGAAGAAGATCTCCGCCGTTAAGCGTAAGCACGGCGAACCAAGCTTCAACCAGCAGCAGCAGCGCCAGGATGGCAGCAGCAGCAGCGGTGCGAAGGAAGGTCAAGGCAAGGGCAAAGGCAAGCAGCGCGGTAAACGCAGCGGCAAGCAAGTTAAGTCCCGCGCCAACCAGGGAGATCATACGGACCATGCGCATCTCGCCTCGCAGGCGTCGATAGCGGGTCCTACCACCTCCAAAGTCGTCGAGATAGCGCCTTCGGGCAGCAAGTCTCACACCGTCACCACCCGTCCCGCCAAAACCGGCCACAGCAAGAATGCTCACCGGTGGCTCAAGAGTGCCCTCGAGCTCGCCAAAGACATCGACGTCTCTGGCACCTCACAGCGTCTCACGACGTTGTCTGAGGTCGTTGACAATTCCGCTCGGATTGAGGAGTACCTCTCCGACTCGGAGTCAGAGTCTCGGGCGTCCAAACGCTCTCGTCATGGTTCTGAAGTAGGCCATGCGATCGACGCGATCATGGACGGGACGTACAACTCGTACGACGAGGACGAAGGTCCTACGACTCAAGATCCACTTGATTGGGGATCAGACGGTCAGTACGACATCGACGACGAGCTGGCTAACGCCGCCGGCTTAGGGGAGGACTTTGATGCTGGGTCAGTCCCTTCAGCTTCTATTCCCAAGCGACCTACTAACCCTGCGCTTCATACAGCCGCATGTAGTAGTAGACGCACTAGGTCTACTTTAAAGAGACGTAGTATTCGCAGTCGTAGTCGCAGTGTAACAAATGAATATATCAGTAGTTCGTTGCACAAATCAGTTGGTTGTCGGCATTCGCGCGATTTCGCTGCGTGCACCAAATGTAAGGGAAAAGCTAAGGCTTGGCATGAACCAGAGCCGGTTGAGTCGTCAGACTCCTGGATGTTGGACTCTGGAGCATCATTACATTTTTCCAACAATTTAGATGATTTTGCTGAGATTGAGGACCTCAGTGAGCCAATCGTCTTGTCGACCGCAAACGGCTCTGCCGTATGCACAAAGCATGGGACAGTCTTCTTGAACTTCGAGAATGACGATGGTAGTCATACGACAACCAGATTATTCCCCGTTTATTACTTCCAAGGTCTTCATCAACGTCTCCTATCCATGGGAACGTTCCTCCGTGAAGGAATGACAGTGCGCGGTGGTGCGCAGCACGTCGACCTCTATGAACAAGGAGCGCGTGAACCACTATATGTGTTCAAGCCGCGGCACCCTAGTTCAACGATATTCGAAATACAGTCCTTGCCTTCACAGGACGCAATGAGTATCCATCAGACAGTTTATTCTGTCGATTACCACACTATGCATCGCCGCCTAGGACATCCTTCTAAGGACGTACTACGGCAAGCACAGAAACACACCGAGGGTTTCCCACCTTCGATAGAGTTCCCTAGGGAGGATCCTATATGCCCAGGATGCGCGGAAGGGAAAATGCATAACAAAGCATTCCCGCCATCTACGTTGAGAGCGACAGAGCCCTTCGAGCTCATTCACTCTGATGTGAAGTCGTTTCCCATCGAC